GATTCATACTCTTAGGTTTTTTCGGTAAGGCACGTAGGTAAAAAATAAATAATAAAATACAAATAATAGAAATAAAATAATAAATCACGACGTTTCGGAGGCAACACAAGTCTCCGTCATCAGGTGGGACCGTCACAGCTAGATTTACTGTACCAAGTGAGGCAAAAATTCCAAAAGACAAGTTCTTAAATAAAAGTTAACCTGTATTATGGATCCCGACAATAGTTGATGATTGAAGACCACTTCAGCACGACTGCAGTGGCTCGCAGCGGCGCTGGCTCTGCGCGAGTGACCCCTGAGAAGACCCCCACACCAAAGTGTCACCTCGGCAGAAGTGGCTCAAAAATAATCCGGTCATTGGGCCGTGCAGATGATTCGGTGCGACCGCCACTCCGAGCCTCAAGCCCGGCCGTTGCGTCCGCTGTGTCCGCTGTGACCGCTTCTGCTTCTTCTTCTTCTCGTGGCACGGCTGTTGATGTCCATGCAGAGCAACGACTGAAATTTCACATCCAGGCGGTCAAGCCAGACAGCAGCGCACGACCAGCGGAGTAGTGGCAATCACTGCCATGTCACCACCTTCGTATTTGTGGATCGGGGAATTGCGACGTGAAACGTTGTGATTGAACACAGTCGCACCACGAGCGGAGAGCTTTTTTATTTTCCGATTTGCGCATCAGGTATGCGCCTCTGCTGCCATCGTTTGTGTTGATGCGATTCAGGGTGGACCATGAGTTTCGTGGAAGGTGAAACCCAGGAAATCTTCTGGGGTTGGGTCTTTCACGGGGTGTTTGAGTTATTTTGAACTCCATTCAACTCTCCAAGCTTCAGAGTTCAACTCACGTGACGCTTTGGCCGCTGGTAGAGCCGCAGCGCCGCCTTGTGGCGAGCCTGGGGTATCGCGTCACTACTTCGCCACGGTGGCTGGGAGATGTTAACTACCTCGCCTGGTCTACAGGAGGTCGTGGGTTCGATCCCGACCCCGACGCCTGCTGTATATTTGGAGTTTGCGTGTCTCTCTCTCATCATCATCATCATCACGGTGACTGGGAGATGTTAACTACCTCGCCTGGTATACTGGAGGTCGTGGATTCGATCCCGACCCCGACGCCTGCTGTATATTTGGAGTCTGCGTGTCTCTCTCTCATCATCATCATCACGGTGGCTAGGAGATGTTAACTACCTCGCCTGGTTTACAGGAGGTCGTGAGTTCGATCCCGACCCCGACGCCTGCTGTATATTTGGAGTCTGCGTGTCTCTCTCATCATCATCATCATCATCACAGTGGCTAGGAGATGTTAACTACCTCGCCTGGTTTACAGGAGGTCGTGGATTCGATCCCGACCCCGACGCCTGCTGTATATTTGGAGTCTGCGTGTCTCTCTCTCATCATCATCATCACAGTGGCTAGGAGATGTTAACTACCTCGCCTGGTTTACAGGAGGTCGTTAGTTTGCTGTCCTCTCGCCGTGCTCCCCTCTCCCCGCGTGCCCCCCTCTCGTCTCGTGCCCCCCTCTCGCCGCGTGTTCTCACCGGGGCTGACACCGCTCACACAGATCGGGGTGGTGCCCGTGTGAGGAGCGGCTCCGATTCAGGGAGACACAAATCTCTGATCTCATCTCAACGTCACTCACATACGGAGAATTACGAACGGCACGACGCGTGTGTGTGTGTGTGTGAATGTAATTGGCTTGGATACGAGGTGAATAGAATTGGCGAGAGGAAGCAATGGGGGCGGAATCTGCGACGATGCGTGAATTCGGCGAGAGTGAAACTTATAACGGGAAATTATGCCGGCTGGATTGAATTAATGGGGTTCATGAGTGATAGCCGTCTACTGAGAATATGAAGAGGGAGCAAGAAGGGTGGTGGTTATGAGGGGGGTATTAAGGTGGGGGGGGGGGGGCGTGGGATGAGCACGGGAACATGTTATAAGTGAGTTTTGAGTGAGGAGCTCAGAACTCGTGAGCGAAGGCGACTGATGAACACCACTGCTGCAGCAGCAGTAGCAGCAGCAGCAGTGTGGTGAACTCGCCTCCACCCCACACGGCCACCGCTCAGCGGTTCCGCTCTGGCAGAATAATTTCGCCGCTAAGACGGCGTCGTCACCGCCGGTGTGAGCAGGGTCCCGCCACCCCGCGGTCTGCACGGGGTGTCACCTCGCGTCCGTGCAGTGTCGGGGGCCCGCTAGAGGCCACCGAGGGTCACCAGTGGCCCGCGGGCCTTGCAATGAAGAACCGCTGCTCTCATTATAAACACATTCCTGCGGAGGGAGCTGGTAGGAACGTTGGGTTGCTCGGTCAATGGCCAGGGTCAACGGCGGCGTGGTGTATTCCGCAAATATGCCCGACTGTGAGGGCGGGCACAAGCCGGCGTGAGTAGGTTAAACGTTGCGTTTTATAAGGGCACCACGGGGTGACCAGCCCCTCCCCACCCAACCCCTCCCACCCCCCACCCTCCCCACCCAGCCCCTCCCCACCTTCCCCACCCAGCCCCTCCCCACCTTCACCTACGTGACTTTACCGAAAAAAATCTAAGAATATGAATCCGCTATTATCATTATTCTATGAACAGATGACAAAAGTATTGAGACGTAGTGGACACACACGCTACAGGGTAAGCTCCCCCCCCCCCCCTTTTTGTTGTCATCAACATCTTACAAGCAACTCAACTAAAGAGTTGGGCGATTCTCGCGATCCCGAGCGCCTTGAATGGCGCGTACGTCTTTCGAAGCGAAAGCAACGTCCTGTTGGGGTGACGGGCATCTGTGGACGCTGCGCGGGGCGGCGTTCCATAGCTTTAAACAACATCCCCCCCCCCCCCTCCTTCGATAAGTTCTGTATTAAAAAATAAACTTTGTAAGATTGCAACTTTCGTGCAAGGGCAAATGTTTGACACAGGAGTTGTGTTAGATGGTTACGGAAGGATTGTAAAACAAAACTGTATTTTAATATTGGCCATAGCTGGTAACCGCAAAAAAAACGTGTGCCCTTTGGGAATATGGCAATATGGAGGACTATAGCGATGTAAGGAATCGGGTAGCAAGGTAGTTAGCAATGGATTACGACACAATGACATTTCAGATGTAAATAATCCAGAGGTTGCGATGACCGGTGGAGAATGGAGGAGGGCGGATGACCGACTCCGGTGTTGGGAGTGGCACCCACAAGTTGGAGATCAAGGGGAAGACCAAACGCCAGACGGTGGGATGACGGGGCACGTGGTTCCCTCGTTATTCGCGAGGGATACGTTCCGGAGATGCAGGTGAACGGTATTCATCTTCAGAAAACGTCGGACATTCAAGCCAAAACAAACAGAATTTCCTCTGCTACGGGATTAAACATCCCGTTTTACTTTAAACTAACCTGTTATATTACGTGAATCAAAACACGTACACGTTAGTCAATTACAAAACTTGGAAGGTAATATTAATTATAGTACGATACATAACACGTCTGCGCGAAGTTAACGCGATTCATCCCCTTACCATTGCTGTACTTTTGGAGAGCGAACAGCATTTTTGTTTTGCTCATGTTAAATAAATACGACTGTATGTATTTAACATGGCTCTGCAAACACGACTCGTTAAGAGGAGAGAGACCCCGACGATCGAGACCACGACGATCAAGACCAAAGACAAAAACCAAACCGCTCATGTGATTCATTCCGCATCGCCGGCGTCATCTTAAACACTCCGACAATCGAAGGGCGCTAGAAAACACACACACACACTTGGCAGGGCAATCTCTAGTCATTCGTTGGTTTCTTTTGTATCGACAAAAGAAGCTTTGGACGCTACCCGCAGCGATCCGGCGAAACAATTTCGCATCCACGGCGAACCGCTCGGGGATTTCGGGAACCGGTGACGGCCGCTCGCTCTCGACGCACCGTGACCCAAAGCTTTCCTCCAACTTGTCAAAGACCCCCCCCCCCCGCCAATGTAAACAAAAAAAAATGCCTTAAGCACCACATAATAGGAGACGTTTCGGGCAACGGTACCTCTTTACAGCACATGGGCCAAGAGTTGAAGGCTGCACGAGACACAATGTGGGGCGATGATACGAATTACATTTTAGAAATCTGAACCTCAACTTGTCGATCTTCCCACGATGTGCGAAGATAACGAACCAATATTAAACAGTCAACATGGGAACTTGGCATGATCTTTGTGGATTAACGCACTGCAAAGTCGCTGTATATTTTATCGTTATTAGACGCTTTCTAACAACTGTCTGTTGTTGTCGTATCCTCAAATCTTGTAACTCAATTTTAACCCACTTACCAATGCGGTATCGACTGTAAACTTGGTATACTTATGTCATACTGATGATAATACTATATTCTATCATAAAACAAAAAAATAAACATTCTTTTTTATATGTTATGATTCGGCTTGTGTCTAATTCTCCACGCTCAACTGACGTTGGCTGTAAATCACCATGGTCCCTTACGTTATGGCAAGCTTCGGGGCCACTTACTGGAGTCGTGGAGTTCTTCCATTACTAGTAGGGTACATTTCATTAAAGCGTGTTTTTAAAAAGTTTCTTAAAATATTACTCGTTGCAGCATGCCATTGATATAACTGCAGGAATATTTGCTTAGAACTTAACCCTTCACGTGTACACCTTAGATGGCAAGGTCCCAAGTGATCACTCAAGCCAGGATCTAGAATATCTCTGCCTGTAGCCAACTCGAGGACACTCCACCTGTGAAACACAGTGATAGTACCGTCACCGTCACCGGCCATGTTCAATCCACTGCTGAATGAAGGCGTCGCCCCCCTTCTACGTGACTTTACCGACAGAACCAAGAAAACGACCCAAATACACATGACATGGCCTCGTGCCAACCAATTGTGCCGTGGCAACTGCACAGAATCACACATTGAGGCCGGTTCTCACAATGTGGCGCGTTACATTCCAATAACGCGACCTCATTTCGCAGTGGCGCTGTCCCAGGTCAACTCACGCGACTGCAGCTAACAACAATGACGCACACACAAATGCCGTGCTGACGATACGCGTATCGTTTTTCTCATTTATTCAGCTCTCTCCATTGCAAAAACAAAAATATATCATCGTAAAAGTATTCGACCTTTGTTGAAGGCGACTTAGAAAATTGAGGGTATAAATGGGCGCATGGTTATGGCTAACTCTGCCAAGTTACAAATTACACAGAGCCAACTTACAATACACATTCGAGTTGCGGTTAACTGGTTTAAGTTTGCGAAAGCGCACGTTTAAAATGCTGTTTTCTCACTTACAACCCAACTGTGCCGATACATGACAGAAAGTACGTCATGTATTTGAAAAAAAATTACCAACCTTGTGAACGTGAAAACGTCTCGAGCCAAAGACTCAATTGAAAGCACAAATGTCGCAACGCTTGGGTCGCACGCGTCTTGATTCGGACAAGTTTATTACAAAACGATTCTTTTTTAAATGTTCACCTCGACCGCCGTGCCGTTGGCGGATGCCTCCGCGGCAAATCTCTTTGGCTGCGAACCGACGGGCGGCGAGAAGTCGGACGTCATTAGCGCCACCACACTTTGCGAAAGAGGCCGTTCGGCAAATTTCCAGCCCCCCCCCCCCAAACCAAGGAACGCCCTTCCCGAACGGCAGCAGCTGAGCGGCACCTTCCACCTCGAGACGATCCACTCACGCCGCCTCCGCGCCCGGTTGCACCACGGAGAGCCACGGAGAGCCACGCACGCGCGGATTGTCACCGCCAAGCCGCGCGTGCCGTCCAGATGATTTGGGGGGGGGGCCGCCCAGAGCGGGGGGCCAAAGGGTCAACGTCGCCTTACACACAAACCAGGCCAACCACAATGGGCCTGGTGGTGTTGCCAATGAATAACGGGGGGCGAGGGGGGGGGAATTATATTCATCAGGCCTCCAGGGACCTCTTGCCAGCGTGGGCGCGGGAAGAGAGAGGAGCAGGGAACGTAAAGAGTTCGGCGCCGTCTTACTTTGGGGGCGAGCAAATTGCCAACTCGCGTGAGCTCCACGGCCGCGGGAAGACAAGGCTCCGGGCAGGAATATTAGCTTGGGGGGTTCACGGGAATGGATGCAGAGGCAGCACGAAGAGCACACTTGCAAAAAAACCGTAGGAGCACACCGCGCGTAAATGAGTAACAGGACGCGTAAACGTGCGTGGGTATTAACTCTTAAACGGAGTGCTTCAAGGTCTCGGTGCAGGGGAGCGTGGAACGGGCCCGCGTGTTCTTGGCGTGGAGCAGCGTGCAGGACGTCTCATTCCGAGGATGCGACAATGCTTGCTCGGACACACTTTTCCTCAAAAAACCATCAACATCAAACAGAGCGCCAATCCCCCCCAACCCCCCCCCCCCCTCTTTGGGGTGGTGGTGAACTTGCAGGCAAACACATACACACACACATTCTTATTGCCATAAAACGTCGATTGTGCAATTGCAAAAAACAACTTAACCCGGGTGTATTAATGGCAACCCAGAGTGTGAACACTCGCTTTGCAACCTGGGTGCATGTTGAAAAAGCGTGAAAGGTTAAAGCGATTTACTTTCGAATGCAACACGACGAGACGCCACGCCACACCACGCCGGCGATGGACAAGGACGACGTTCCGAGCGCATCACGACAATGGGCCAATGTACATCGCGCCCAGGTCAAAAAAGGGGGGGGGGGGAGGATTCTTTTGAGTCTTCAAAATAAAACGCAAGCGGCTAAATCGGTTAAGGTTATTTAGGCTAAAGCGCACGCAGCATGGCAAACCTCCCCTCACCCCACAATTCTCTGCGAGTCCTAGCAACGCCTATACACAGGTGCAGCAGCTCGATCCAGACAAAACCAGCTGACCGGTGACTTTGATCAGATTTCACGGTGAAGAAGCCACTCGTCGCCCGTGCACGAGGATGCCGTTATCTTAGGAAGGTCACGAGAGCATTCCCCATTCCTCTGACGGCCACGCATCTCCCACAACGCCCGTCTCCACGCAACTCCCACGCGTAGGTTGCAGCGGTCACAGCTGTTGCTCATGACAAGTTACCTCCACATCCGGAGTGGCGGTTGCTGCAGCAGCCGCGTTGCACGAGCCGGCCGCCGTGACAATATTTCGACTGTGGTGGTGGTGGTGGGGGGGAGGTCTCAATGCAGCAAGTCGGGCAGGCCGAGGGTAAATTTGGTGAAGAGCGCCCGAAGCACTTCGAAAGGCACCAAAGGGAGCAAACAGATTAGCGAACCAAGAGCCCGGCAGAAAAATTAACCCGGATTCGGATGTGAAGATCCAGAGATCACGCTCGGAAAACCCTCCCGCAAGACACGCTCGACTCGACGCAGCGGGGCGCACGTCGCAAGCTGCGCGCTGGCGAGGTCGGGACACAGCGCCGCGCCGCTGCTCGTCAGCCGCTCAGGAGGGAGACTCCGAGTGAGGAACGAGAAACAAGAGGGACCACCACCGCACTTGCTGAAGGCCAAGGAGGAGGAGGAGGAGGAGGGGGTAAGAGAGCTGCTCCTCTACCAGAATCAAGTCGTTCCAATTCTCTTCCCGTCGGCACTCCCACACGCTCGCACCTCGCGCCATTTCGATCCATCCAGCAATCCCACACACATGCACAAGACTGTTCACCAAGTTTCCCACTTTGCCCTCACACCGCTCCCTATCCCTGCTACTCGTTATGGGCCACCCCATACGATGCCGCATCCACTTCTAAAACGAGCACACAGCAACGCGTGCGAGGTCCTTCACGACTCTCTGCCTACCCTCAACGACACCCTATCTCCCACCGAGTTCCATTCCGCCTCACATCTCCCCCCCCCCCCCTTCACATCCTCCATCTCCTTGCTAGCCTCAATTTCCAATGGAACTCCGTGGTTCTGCCCTCCACCCCACCTCCTCTCTCTCAGCAATCGAACCCTCTCACAGACCATCTCTCAACATTCGTCACCGCACCCTTATTTTGCGGACTTCTCCTTACAATCAGCAAGTCCCCCGTCCCCTCTCAAGAGTTTGTTTCCAGCCTCTCCTCTCATCCTCCTCCCCACTGGGTGCTTAAGTGTCCCTCTGAGTGGTAAGCCTCCTGTGCCTTCTTTCTGCCGTGTCTTTTATTTACATCAGTTTTATTACGGAGTGCTTTGCAAGTTAAAGTGCTCTACGCATAACAAATTATGACGATCGTCCATCGTGATGAGCGTCGTTGAAATTCAACATTCAGATAAAAAAAAGCTGCATCCACAATTACGGCCTGCGAAGTCCGAGGAAAGACGCATCGGGACACAAAGCGATAGCTCGTACATGAAAGAGCAGAAAAGCGAGCGCCTGTAAATGGAAATCATCCGATAACATTTTTTTTGAAAACCTAAACCCGTGAATGCAGATCACGCAACAGCAGCAATGAGGAGGCGGGAGATTTCTAAAAGCCGAGCGTCACCGCAAGGAAAGCAGGTAGAGGCGCAGCACTCCAATCTCTCTCGGCCAAGCCACCGCTGGCTCAAGGACCTCCACTCAAAGCAAGGATTTGGCCTCCCCCTTCCACGCCAGACGTACGCCGTAGAAAGGGCGGGGGTGGGGGGGTGGGGGCTCCACACTTCACCGCACCGCACCGCGACCTGCCAATCGGCTAAACCGCATCACCGAAGGGAAAGGCGAAAATTCGAGGCTTCTCAATGAGCGCACCCAGGTGCGGAACAGCCGGTTGCAACGAACGCGACAGCGGGATGGTCGGACAGCGATCGTGATAGCGCCGCCTTGCATTGCGACGTTGATCCCTTCTTCTCGGCTTTAGTAGCGCACGCAAAACGCCCGAGAGCGTGGCAGTGGAAAGCATGTGTGGTGGTGATGCAAAAGGGGTGGATCCTGTTTCACGCACCTTTTGACCGGTGCTTTGAACAGTGCCACACTCTGACAAACACAAGGCAACAGAGTACAAAGAACAATTGGCCTGGAAAAAAATATATATCTTGTTTTTTTTAAAGGTACTCAATCACAGGAATACAATAATGATCAAACGGCTTCGAAGAAAGGCAGAACGGGAGCAGACATTACCGGAACAGAAACAGGGCACTGAAATCAGACCATATTACCTGCATCAAAGCTGCACAGAAGGGATTCACGGTGGCGTCAACAACAAGGCGAGGCAGTTCGTGAAGCAGCGCAACTGCGTTGCTGGTACGGGGAAAGTAACGAGAGGAAAATACTCCTGAACCCACCAAAGCAATAAACGGTAATATAAAACGCCGAAGTTTTTTGTTTGTTTGTTTTGCATGTACGGAGCAAAGTCGGATCCTTCGAGCCGAATCAATGTCATTGTCTCAGGATGAGAATTGCTGCGGTCCGGCTGAACCTCAGCCACTCGGGAGAGCGAGCTGTCCCATCCTCGTGAGTCCCAGTGGAACCGTCCTCCTCTAAGATGGCATCGCTGGCCACGGGCGACCAAATCAGCTGCCGGAGCCAGCTGATCGTCGCTCAGGTCGGGCAGTCCCGCACTTGCCAGATGATCACGTGGCTCAGATCCTTGATCAGCGACGGCTTGATCGGAGCCACGTCGTCCGCTTCTTCTCCGTCGCCTGCGTTCACAACGTACGTTCAAAATCACCTCATCTTGTCGAGATTCGTATAGCGCATTTTCCACGGCTCTTTGGCAATGATTATAAAAATTGTACGCACCACGATAACGGTTTGAGATGAAGAATGGGGTTATTATTACAAGTGGTGGTGTAGCTTTAGTGCCAGCAGAACAGGCGCTAAGGAGGGGTTGGGGTAGGCCTGGTCGTAGCTGGGGGGGGGGGGGGGGGGGTGAGGGAGAGGGCGACAGAAAGATGGGTGGCGGAAAAATAACGAGACATCACATCGGGAAGACAAAGGGGTCGGGGCTAGGGGGTGGGAGTCAGGCGGGCGAGTCCTCCGCATCATCATCGTTGCCAACATCATTACTTCTGTCGTCGCCATCATCACGGATAGCGGGGAATATGTCCTGCTGCCTCTTGGCACCGCCCACCCTGCCGTGCCGACCGCGAGCGGTAGGCGACCTGGGCACATGTCACCCCGACCTCGTGCTCGTGCGTCGCAGCCCTGCCGTGCGACGGCGAATCGTAATCTTATCACGAAGCAGCAAATACCCATAGCCATGAGGCTGTTGATGGTGTGTCATTACAGAATTAGAAATATGCCAACCGCTGCTCTGTACAACATCGCTGGAATGCGGTTGCATCTAGATGTTACATGAATCCAATATTGTACTGCACTGACCGGTGCATGACCTAGTGGTGGCGATGGGCAAAACAAACAACCAAAGTTGATGGTGGATGACCCTACAATTGCCCAGTGCATCTTCCTCGTTTTCATACCGCTGATGCTGATGTGCTTATGCAATTTATACTTGTACACTTTGTTTTTTATTTATTTTTCGTGACTTGCTTCCCGTTTGAGTTTTTGTACTCTCATCGTTTTTTTTTTATAATTTGCTGACCCACCCCAACCTAACATCTGTGAAAAAGAGCTTCATTGCTCATCGGATTCCACCAGGATAAATAACGATTCCGATTCTGTATTATAGAGGGACAGCGCCACACCTATAACGTGACAGCACAAGCAGCAGATGCGTGTGTTCGAACACGGACGCACAGGTGTAAGCGCAAGTGCATTCTAAAAAAGATTCAGATTCTGAGATATTAACTACCTCGCCTGGTAAACAGGAGACGTGGGTTCGATCCCGACTCTGACGCCTGTATATTTGGAGTTGCATGTTCTCCCTGCGGCCGTGTTGATTTTTCTCCGGGTCCTCCGGTTTTTCCTGTTATAAATGTCCAGATTATAAGCCACTTGTTTGAGCTATCATTTGTGGCCTGGTCGCTTCTTACATGGAGCTATATAGCTCAGTGGGCCTTGCCTGGTAAAATAAAAAGGTTTAGTTTATAGTTTTAATTTATAATCATAAACGGAGATGGTTGATTAGCCAGATGATTGCGTCACCAGCAGCGGAGTGTATAACGCCGCGGATGTATGCACGTCCAGGACGTTGAACTTACTTCGCACCGTACCTAGCCAACTGTGCTAAAAAAAGGATGCATCTTTTATATTCGTGAATCGGCGGCGGCGGCAGCTGCTGACGAGGACGGCGCAGCGCAGGTGGGCAAGATGACCCTGGGGGGGATGTCCCTTCCACCCTGCCGGGTGTGAGCTAACGCAGAGCCGCACGCCGCGGGCAATGACAAGGCTCTCCCCGCCCCCCGTACCGATGCGGAAGTCGATGTAGCCCTCGCCGCCGCTCACGACCAGCATGTACTTGGGCTTGTCCCGCACGCCGCCTGGAGGCTCGGTGGCGTCCGCGCTGCAGCCTGTCGCGCAGAATCGGGAAACGGAAATCTTCATTTTAACAAGCGGAGGAATCCGACGAGCTGTGAAGCTCTTTTTGCACACAGATGTCCAGTAGGGGCCAGGGTCAGAACGTTGCAACAACCAACAATACAAAAAAAACACGATAGCAGTGCAAAGTATAGGAAAGGTAAACAAATCACTTTTTTAAAAGATAGAAATAAAACTAAACTAATTTCGATTTTACCAGGTAAAGCCAACTGAGCTATTAGCTTCTTTTTCAGAAGCAACCTGGCCACAAATGCTCGCTCAGTGAAGTGGCTTATCACGTAGAAATTTAAAGCAGAAAAATATTCCAAATAATCTAAATGCACAGAATACACAAGCCATAAATGCGCACGGCCCTCCGTGGAGATTGGTGAGAATGGATAGTTGGTGACGAGGCTTTTCAGGATTTACCGTCCGAAGATGGTTTCAATCACAGATAAGATATGGCTTAAGTATGTATATTCTTACTCTTTGGTTCTTTCGGTAAAGTCACGTAGGTATAAAATAAAATAAATGATATCACGACGTTTTGATTGCAACACGAGCATCATCATCGGATGATGATTGCTTGTGTTGCATCACTGCTTGAAAACTTAAAATCTAGATATGTATATTCTCTGCATACTTGATACAATGCCACACTGATAAACACAAGCAAACGGAGCACTATTAAAAATGAAAATACATCTGTGGATGGCTGGATGAAGGCCTCCCCGCACCGTGATGGTCATGAGGTTTTATTGGCCCATGCTTCACCACGCTGGTCAGTGCGGGTTGAGGTGGGGGGCGAGGGGGTGCACAAGGGTCGGTTCAGACGTCACTCGGCATGCCGATGTGCGCCGTAGCGAGGAATCAAAATCAAATCCCTGGGTTCACAGCACAGTGAACAAACCACTGGACCGCCACGAGACTCGACACAGCACAGGTCCCATCCTTCTCCACTTCACACGTTATTTCACCATTTACTAAAAAACTAAAAACTACCAGGTAAGGCCCACTGAGCTATATAGAGCTCCTTTTCAAAAGCGACCTGGCTCAACGAAGTGGCTTATCACGTGAAGATTCAAAGCAGCCAAATACTCCAAATGCAGGTTTCTAAACGTGAATGGGAAAACCGGAGGACCCGAAGAAAAATCCATACGACCACGGGGAAAGAATAGGCCAACTCCAAATATTTGTTGGCTCACGAGGTGCCACAGAGGAAGCGTCGACTTCCACGCCCGTTCGAACATGAGCGTGCGGCCGGTGACTGTGCGCACGAGGGCGAACACCAACCCTGTCAATCCCATTTTTCCGAACCTCACGGGACCCCAAGGAACGTGTAAAAAACCCCCCACTGGGCACGATCCCACCCACCTGGCACGGCGAGGAAGAACTTGACGGCGTCCCTGTGGCCGTGGAAGCAGAGCTGCGCGTCGGCCATCGAGCAGTAGGGGATGAAGGTGGCGGGCGTAACCTTGTCTCCCGTCTCGTCCCCGTAGACACGCACCACCCCGCCGGGACGCGCCAGGCCCGGCCCGCCGCTGCCTCCTCCCCCCAGGCGGCTGGCTGCAAATAGGATACGTGGCCAATCAGCGGAGGGCAGCACGCGCACCACTACACGTTCATTCCGCCAACTTGCTCCGCGGTTGCGCTCGGTTGGACTTCATTGCGTTCACTGCCAACCCCCTTCCCGGTGCCTGCCCTCTCCACGCCAGCGACCACCGCCTCTCCCCCTCCGACCACGGGACCAAGAGGAGCCGAGCGAGAGGCCGCGCCGCTGTTCTCTGCGCCCTCTCTCTGGAACTGCCTCACACCGCCCCGAACATTGGCACCCCTCGCCGCCTCCGTTCCAGTTCAAACTCAAGACCCAGTTGTTCTCCACCGCCGATGGTGAATCATAACCTGCCCCGTACTACCTCCCCTCGCGGCCACGCATTGTGGCCATCTACACCGCTGAGATGTCTATGTGCCGTACGTAGCCAACCGTGCTAGTCGGAGGTGCGGGGGAAGGACAACAAACTGAACACACCCGTGCTTTGAGAAACGCTGATCTTGCCATTTACCATCGCAGCCCTTGAGAGGCGACGTGCAACTTCACAACACAGCGATGTTCATCGATGTGAGTGATGCCACTGCTGCTGTTGCTGCTATCCCCATTGTCTGGGACTCCCATGCGGTCGACTGCATTGTCGAGATCCTTGTTCTGTTAAAGTGCAGGCTCAAGACTTTCCTCTTCTAAACTTAACTATTTTTTTTTTTACCAGATAAGGCCACACTGAGCTATATAGCTCTTTTTCAGAAGTGACCTGGCCACAAATGATAGCTCTTAGAAGTGGCTTATCAAGTGGAAATATATAGAAGCCAAATACTCGAAACGCACGTTTCTAAATGTGGAGGGAAAACCTGGAGAACCCACAAAAACAAATCACGCGACCACAGGGAGAACATGCAAACTCCAAATATACAGGCGTCAGGGTCGGGATCGAACCCACGACGACCTCCTGCATACCAGGCGAGGTAGTTAACATCTCCCCATCACCGTCTCTGTCTCTGTAGTATCTTCACACGCACTTTGACCATAACGCCACAATAATCCCCCTTCTGGCCTGAACAACGTTACCCCAATTTCCCTCTTCTAATGCAGACAGGCATATTTCCCATATTTGTAAGCAAGTACATTTATCAACATGCAACTCTCATAACCTAGGTTATTACGAGTGCTCAATATGCATATGCTAAAAGCTAAGAGCTAAAAATGCATGTGTGTTCACAAGCCGATGCGCCACACCCAGGGGTCTTATTCACATGCAGTCGTATTCCGACGCTTTACAAACTCCCAACTTGCGTTTGCCGAGTCATTTCAAAACCTTGACTGCAGAGGCAAGAGGTGGCTCGTGGAGAGGATGATAGCAGCAGGCATTCATCTCAGTCAGGTCTGCCTGGGTCGAGGCACCCGGGTACACCACATCCAGTAACGCACATCGCTCTGGCTTTGAGCCTACCACTACTAGTAACGCGCCTGATCCAGTTCAGTCTACGAGCGACCGAGAAAATAATGGCTAAGACGTGAAGCCCTGGATGTGAGAATCAGCGTAGGGAAGGGGGGCCCCGTGCTACTTACCGCACCAAGCCGGGCCACCCAGGCCCAATGCCTTCTGCCGAGATGCTGCGGTGTCACACGCAGAGGAAGAGGAAACAAAAGGTGGGGAAAGGGAAGAGAGCAAGAGGGGAACGGGCGGGACAGGAACGAGATGCGGACGCGAGGAGGAGGTGGAGGAGCAGGAGGTGGTGGTGGTGGAGGTGAGGGGGCGGGAGGTGAGAAATGCATAATAGTCATTCCAGCAAGTGAAGATGGTTCACAGGAACCAGAACGATTAGAAATACAGGAGGAAATACATTGACAGAAGAAATGAAGCGAGGATTAGAACGAAGGGGATTGCATGGGCAGATCTTGCAGGAGCCGTTGGGGGGGTGTGATGCACAGCCACGGGTTAATTGAAAACGCACAAAAGAAAACCGTGTTGCGCAAACGCAAAACGAAAACACGGCGTTTAAGCAAAATGGATGACTTGCGAGGAAGCGACAGGAAACAACAAAAATGGGGCGGGCGAGAGAAAGGAGGGCGATTGAAATTACACGGAGCACTGATCGTAACGGTGCCACTACCGCCATCGTCATGCAACCCAGGACACACTCACATGGCACGTGATGCACTTAAACCCAGTACACTTCATTCAGTACACTGCAACCCAGTACACTTAAACCCAGTACACTCACCCAGCACACTGCAACCCAGTACACTTCAACCCAGTACACTCACGTGGCACGCAATACACTTCAACACCAACTCGTAATTTGTACCGCAAGTATATAAAACTTGAACGATTGCATGAGTAACGCAGCACCAAGTAACCAGCTAAGTTTCCCGTCCGCTCGGTGCATGCAACCGATGCTGCGACAATTTACTTAATCTGTTATTTTAATCGTCACTGTAAAAAATATATATAGCAAGTCACATTAACTGTACCCTCATCCATGGAATCAGATGAGAAACGAAAGGAACACTTTACGGGGGTGTACTTGAATTTGTAGAGAATGATATTAAGTTAACTTTTTCTAAATTAATAACGATAATGCTGCTTCTTACCCAGAAAGCCTCATTGCGTCTCAGGCTATTTCAGGGCGGGGAGGTGTTTGGGCAAATCCATCAATGAGTTTGGCTTAATGTGGGAATAAACTGGAGAAAACCCACCAGGCGTCGGAGATGTGACACTCAGCACTGCCATCTCCTGGCCACAAAACAGATCCCGTGTATAGCCTTCACAGACCGCAGGGACAAGTGCTACAAGAGGTTTTTTGAGTTAGATCGCGTAAATATAAATGTGTCGTTAAACCCGCCACCACCCGACACAGCTGGGTGGTGGCGGGTTTAACGCATAAATAAAAATGTGTCATTAATATTTATGCAATCTAACCCAAAAAACCTGAATAATGGATAATATTGGTCGCGAAAGCCGACGTATTAAAGGGACAAGTGCTGTTGGCGAGCACCTATGAAGGCCGCCACGGCACATTGAGGGGGTGGGTGACCAGCACCACACCTAGCCTTCTCTCGTCTCCCCAGTGGCAATGTTTACACACCACACCAGGTACTCATTTGAGGCCGAATCGACCTAGGGGAGGTCCAGGAACAGTTCAGATAATTGTTACTAGTGTTGGCGGCCGTGAGTGGGAATCAAATTCAGGTCGCCGGGTTCGTAGCGCAGCGTGCTCACCACGGCGCCACCACTCCCTGGCCACACCTCACAGCCCCACTCCAACAACACCTGGGTAGCCTCAGGCCCCGGTCACCCATGCAGGTGCGAACCAGGCTCAGTCATGCTCGTCTTCGCAGATCCGATAAGTACACAGGGGTGGTTTGATTGTGGGCACGTTAACACTTTCCCGTCTGCAAGTTGCAGGGTGGGTGTCCCGTTCACCGCCGAATCCCGGAACGGGAAAGCGGCTCGGTACTAATTTTATTTAGAGAGACGTAGCGCCGCAGAGAACCGTAGTGACACGACCGCATGGTCTTATGCTTCCGGTTCCAGTCCGATGACGTAAACATACGTACGCGCATGCCGTCGGAACGGAATCGAAAGTAAAATTGGAAAAGGAGCTGAGATTTACAACTCGGTGTAGTGAGACCGGGACTCAATGGCACGATCCCTTGCAATCACCGCGTGCCACCGTTTGTGCTCTACAACGACAACGGCGGCCACCGATGTGGCAAAGAGGAAGGGGGTGTGCGCTGCTCACACTCGGAGAGCGGGATGGAGATGATGACGCCGTTGCCCGTGCCGACCCACAGCCGGGTGCAGGAAATGAGCAGCGACGTGATGCGGATGAAGGAGAAGCCCAGTGATCCGGTGCCTGGAGCACGCACACACGAGCACACGCGCGCACATGGGCACTCACACGAACACTCTCACGAGCACTCGCAGACACTCCAACGGGCACGGGCACTCCCACGAAACTGTAAACGCAGCTGCACGCATAGAATTCTGATTCTGAGAGATTCTTGCTGGCAGGACAGACGCGGTGCGTGCGTGAGGAGCTGGGCGACGCGCACGTAACAGCCCGTAACGGAGGTGCCGCACCGCGCGCCGTGAATGTGCAACGTACCCAGCATCTTGCTGACGTACGGCTCGATGTCGATGTCTTGCAGGTGCTGGTGCGTGTGCGCGTGGTAGAGCCGCAGCGTCGAGTCCAGGCGGATGGACACCCACACGCCGTCGCCCACCCACGCCAGCTGTCGCACCTGGCTCTCCTTGCGCGGGTGGGCGTCGAACGATTTCTGCAAACAAATGGGCAACACACGTGGGGGGGGGGGGGGGGGGAAACAAACATCGCCGTTGAGCCCCGAAGACCACCGTGAGACCCGGTGTTGTCAGCGAGCCGGTCCTCTTCCCGTCTACCTCTGTCTTCTCTACGCCTCTCTGCCTTGTCTTTCTCATTCAAACAAATATTCTTATACAGCATATACGGATATCCTCCCTTGTTCCGCATGATCGGGGGTCGGCAATCTGCGGCTCTGCAGGCGGTGGCTCGTTAAGGACCGCTTCGTGACAATTATTTACTAAGTAACGCCGTCTCGTATTCGCCACAGAGCACTGCGGGCTCTTAAAATATTTCACTTTTTACCGAATTCGAACAAAAATGTCTCTGCTTGTTATTTTGATTTTGCCGACCACTGCACATGATGAACATGTCCCACTGTTCTGTAGAATGCCTTGAGATTGCAGTTGTGTACAATCTCGATAAATCCATCTTGCTATGTAACGCCAGACCAGTACGGAACATGGAAAGGTGGCGGAGACCGGCGGGCATCCTTGGGAAGTCTTCGTCTCACCAGTTGTGGTGGTGAAATTTTAAGCTGAATTGACCTGGGGGAGGTCCAAAATATTGAATGTGACCAGGAATCAAAGCCACTCTGAGGAGCTTCGAACAATGCTTAAACGAAAAACCAGAAAGAACTGTTCATGATTGATGATCTGCTTTGCATCAGGATGCAAGCAATACTATTTAAACAAATTTTTTTTTTTATTTTACCAGGTAAGACTCACTGAGCTATGTAGTTCTTTTTCAGAAGCGACCTGGCAACTAATGACACCTCAACGAAGTGGCTTATCACGTGGAAATGTATAGCAGTCATATACTCAAAATGCATATTGATTCTAAATGTGGAGAGAAAAACCGGAGGACTCGGGAGAAAAATCCACGCAACGATGGGGAGAGAGTAATGCAAACTCCAAATATACAGCAGGCATCATCAGGGTCGGGATCAAACCCACGACCTCCTGTATACCAGACAAGGCAGTCGACATCTCGCCACCGTGGCGCCCCCAATAAACAAGTCGGTACTAATTTACTTAAATACAAACGCAAACCCGATCGACCTAAATTGATGGTATCGGTGATACAATTCTATTCTGGAATATACACAAATATATTTTACAACTCCGATGACCGAAGCGCGTGTGACGTGGCCGCACATGTGACATGCCCCAATAACGTGCGACACACACGAGGAAAAAATAACCGATTTGTCCAACCCAAAATACGACGCACGGATCGTGAGAATCGATGCGTCGTCATCATCACTGTCGTTGTGGTCTTGCATTCTTTACAACGCAATTCTCACGTGGCACATCTCAAAGTGCCACAGCAAAGGTGCGTTTGAGTTTAATCACCGAGTAAGGAAGCGATTGCAGACCAAACACAGTGTCCAGGAAGAACGCAGTAATGTAATGTAACGCAAATAGTCATTTAGGAAACGCTATATCAAGCTAATAGCATCTCGATTGTGTGTTGCAGTCTCGTCATGCTGTGTTCATTAAATTAATTTCAAGTCTCTCTTGAAGTGCTTGAGTTGGCCGGATGGAGAATTCGGGTAGCGATATTCCCACATTCTGAAAAGCGCGGTCACCAGGCGTCTCTAGGCGGGGTTCGTGTAACAACGACGACATCACCACGAGCAGCAGACCTGAGGTGTCGTCGTTTCCAATCATTGGCGACAGGCGCGCATAGCTCCTACATTTGACGGTGGTGCCATACCGTGTAGACACGTCTGTACGGTCAGACAGAGATTGTACTTCACACGCTGTAGAATCAGAAGCCACGATCATGTCCATCAGAGCAGACAACCCTCACGAGAGAAACGAGAGAACGCGATCGAACTGCTACAGAGTTGCACGCCGACTAAGAATATCACCACCCCCCCGCCACCCCGAGAGGACCGCGCTCGAACCTCGATGCGCAGCGTCTTGGGCTGGATTATGTGGATCTTGTTGCGGTATCCGCACCACACCGTGTCGTGCACCACCGCCATGCAGCGGATAGAGAAGTGCGGCCGCCCCAGGTCCAGCAGGTGGTAGTTGCTCAGGTCCCACTGGCCGTCTGGTGACAAAGAGACAAAGACCCCCCCCCATGTAACCTTAACAGACTGTTGAGTGCTGTTTGCGAGCAGCATCTATGAAGGCCGGAACGGCACCACGCCCGACCGCCTGTCTCCCCAGTGGCAACGTTTACTAGGGGAGGCCAGGATCAGTACAAATAATTAGATAATCGTCACTGGTGTTGGCAGTGAGAATCAAACCCGGATCACCGGGTTCGTAGCTCAGAGCGCTAGCCATTACACTTCTGCTCCTGTCTGCGACAACGTGCCAATGTGCTGAAAAAAAAGTTTTTAAATCAGCCACAACTTAAAGATCATGGACAGTGACAAAGAAAATTAAACCAAAGTTGAACAGCGCATAAAGTAGCGTGAAGAGGTGCATGCTTGGAAAAAATATTGCAAGGCAGGAAGGGGAACACAGGGATAGGAGAACACGCGCAAGTGAGAGACGTCACCTTGACACAGTTCTGAAAAGCAAGTGGGGGCTGGGGTAGGACACGTCACTCGAGAGAAAGACGGCCACTGGTCGAGTCTAACGGTGGAGCGGCAGCCAAATGGAGGGAACGCGCCCGGGAGGATGTCCAGTGCAGAGATGGGAGCGGTGAAATTCAGCTTGTGTGCAGGAGCTAAGTGGATTGTTGAGTCACAAGACCATGATTTATCATGGCTGATTGTGATGAGGATGATGATCAATTTAAGTGTTCTTCATTGCAAGGCCCACAGGCCAATGGCGGGCCCTGAAGTACGGCCCCCCACGATACACAAATGTGAAAACACCCCATCGTGCTGTCAGACCCCAATGATTTTAAAACGTGTCGCGGCCCTCACACTGATGATGTCTTATCGGCCAAAGTGGCCCTGCTCTAAACATTTGTGAAGAACACCGATCTAGAGGTTCAGTTTACCCCTTGAAAACTAAACTTGTATTCAAGTTCTTCAGTCCCCCCCTCACCCACACATACAAAATAACTCAAGGGATTCACCGACCGCGCTGGGACAGACGGACACTAAAAGCAGAACTGCGGTGTGTCTGTGAGGTTTCCCTCTACGAATGAAGAGAACGAACGAGGAACTGTGTAGGAAGGAGGCACCTTCTGCTCGGTGGAAAATAGCCATCGTTCCATCCGCCAGGGCGACCAGGACCCTGCCTTTGATGTGCCTGGAAAACAATGCGGAAACACCGTCAGGGGATTTTGACTCATGGGAGCAAGCCGTAGGCTTCTAGAAGCAAAAAGTGTTTTCCATGCTGCAAATTGTACTTTTTTTTATTGACACCCCGGTCTGAAATAGTAGCAGCCACCTCAATAACAACTCAGTTGCTTTAATGTATTTTTGTCGTTGTTGTGAATTTACATTTAGCGCTCGAGGCTTTTAAGCTCTCAAGAATTTATATTTATATTACAAATACGGCATTGCCCGAGCAGTGTAAACCAACAATAAACTAAACACAGAATTCTTCATGTAAAATGTGGGTAACCTTTCATACACTCAATTGTTTCAAGAAAAATAGTTTCGTTCAAGTGCCACGGAAGAGTTTGTGGTTCCAGCTCGAGTCCAGCATCGCGTCGGGTCCCCACGGGTCACGCAAACAACTGGTCGGAGCCAAGTCGTTAATACAGCTTGCCGTTCGGGCGCAGGTCGGACACGTTAACCACCGTGACGCGGACGTTACGCGGACGTTGACGCGATGAACGTGGCCTGACCAGCATGTGAAAACGACATCGGCTCCGACCCGCTTGGTGGGTCACATGCGCTTAATTACTCGACTGGATGCAGAACTCTAGCTCCAGCAGCAGTCGCTCACAACCATCCTTTACATGCCTCCTAGCAGCCCCATAGATATTGACACTGAAAAATCCACTCCGTCTGAAAGCAACACGACCTTGTAACACAAAAGGTCTGGAACTGTCACAGCCTCAAGTCGGTTCTCTGCTGTTACCCCCTCGGTGTGGAACTCTCTAATGCCTTTGCACATCTGCAACATCAAATGCACTCTGACTTTTAAGAAACATTTATAATACTATCTGTGTGGTCAGCCTTTCCAGTAGCATCGAGCTTGGCTCCGCGCCTCCGAGTTGTTGACTTGTACGCGAAAGTTGGTGCATTATAAATGTCATCATTATTATTATTAAAAGGGTACAAGAGATATGAGGACCGACAGCGAGCATTCTTACACGATGCACAGCACGGAGTCTTTCAGCTTGATGGAGTGCAGACACTTCCTCCACTGAGCCACGGAGGAGTGCACGTACAGGCTGCAACACAAAGGGGAGAGTTGCTTCGGAGGTGCGCGCGTAACGTCACAACGGCAACCGCACAAAAGAAGAGCCGGGTGCACAACTCTCTCCAAATTTCCCACGCCGTGCAAATTTCTGTCCGGCAAAACAATTGCACGGCATCTGAGTGAGCGCCGACTTTGCCAGCATTCCTGGTAACAAGTCAATCACCTTCGGCTGTGGAAATCCGATCCGGAAAGACAGAAGGTCGATTGACTCAAGATATTTGTTTACGTGGAGGTAATAGAATGGAAGCCGATTAATTTAATATCACAACAACCGTTCATCTCTTAACAGCGTGTTTTAATTTTACGCAAACCCTGTCCCGTATATCATGACCCCCTTCCCCTGAAAATCCTGACAATTCATCGAATCTCTGGAACGGTCAAATCGGTCCGGGTCTTGTTTCATCTTCCGGTTAACCGACATAAGGCGAGTGCATACGTTGGCGGCAGGACATCGTCACGGGCAATGGGGAAGGACTTGAACTGCTGCGCTGTAATACGATAAAATCGGACACCCCACGAAATCACCGATCAGAGATTTGCCCATATATGGCAGGAAGTAGGCGTGGTGTTACCAGAAGGGGCGTGTCTTTGCCCAAATATGGCTACTGTGGATGGTGAATCGAGGTTAATTGTATCGATTCCGCTCAGTCGATCACGCAAGCAGTCGCTCACAGTTGATCCAGCAGCCACCTTGAAAATGTCGATTCATTGGCAATCTATTCCATTGCCAAGCGATACTTGGATCGCGTAGTCATGCGACACGCCCCCCTTCAGTTGATTAGCTATCAGCAAGATCGGTGATTCCATCGCGGTCCGCTTTTATTGTACTACACGGAGGAACCGCACACACACACACGACCCCACGCGACCCCGCGAGTGCGTGTACGCGTGCGTGCGTGACGTGGCACACGCACAATCCATTCTGCGCGCCCAGCCACATGGTGGGAAGGATGCTGCTCATCTTCCCCGCCTCCTCGTGCATAAGGTCCGTGTCGACGGCCCGCATGGACACACCGTCCCGCACCACGTCCGGGTCCCTGGGGACGCAACGACCACGAGCGCGACACGATGGTCATGAACGCCCGACCGCTACAACGCGTGAACCGCCGTGACACCGCCGTGACGCCAACCTCTTCACGGACGCGTGCGCTATGCTGTCACGACGACAAACCATCGACACGCTAACATCTGCGCGTGAGAACAGGTTCATAGAACGGAAGCCGACAATAAACCCTGCTGCCCTGCATCAAAGCAAAAGCATGAAGATGCCAGATTCACAGACGCAGTTGATAATAACGATAACATCGTGGGCTCCGCGAGCAGCGGGGGAGCGGCCTGTTTGGCGGGGTGGGAGTGGGCACCACAAGATGTTTTCAGACAATCAATGAGGAGTTCTGTTAATTATACATTTGGGATGAAAGCGGAGTACCAAGAGAAAGCCCACGTGTGCGAGGGGGCAACACTCTATCCCCCTGCACTCGCTGTTCTGCCTTCTCCCGGCGAGTCAGGGTATGGACCCTCCTCGACACCCATGGAAAGGGAGTTTCACAACATCTAGGCGGTGATCCACGAACCCTCGCTGCTGCCTCCACAGCACTCGATTACAGGCCACGTGCTCATAGCCACCACCGCCTGGTTAAGATGTGAATCTGGCCTTTAATGTTCAATGCGCTACAAAAGTTTAATCAGACCTTCCCTACGCAAGGGCCCCGGAACCTGCGCGCGTCACCTGGGCTCGAGCTGAGGCTTCTCATGCAGGGGGTCGGTGAAGACGTGCTCGGTGAAGGCGGCCGGAGCGGCGGAGTGCTTCCCGTTCGGCGCACGGCCCCCTCCCTCCGGGCCTCCCTCCCCAGGGCTCTCGAGGGCCTCCGTGGCCTCCTCCGTCGAGGGTTCCTCCTCCTCCTCCTGCTCGTTCTCCCCCAGAAGGGGGTGGCTTCCTCCCGCTAAAAAACGAGACGCTCTCTCGCATCGTACGCAGCGGCAGACGCTCGCGAGAGCGGCGACGGGGGCGAAAGAAACTATAATGGGGGAAGGGGGGGGGGAATGGCAGCTGTGGCTGAGCACTGGAATGGGAGAGGCCGAGATCGCGGGAATGTACATCCAACACGAAAATCATGCACGTGGAATAAACACAAATGTATGTTTGTACGCTCAACTTCTTTCGCACCGTACTTGGCCAAAGGCGCCAACGCATCACCGCGCAATCTGGCCTGATGAGATTGGACGCATTCTCGATGATTTGGTATCCGATGCACCGACTGTCATGTAAGGGCCCTCTTCACCGGAGGGGGTTCTAGAGGGCACACACATTGGCCGACTCTTCCACGCTGGCCAGAAGTGTGAGACCACCCACCGTTTACCCCACCACACGCACAGGCTACCACACTGCCGGGTGGGACAGAGGCGGCGCGGGGGAGCGGGGAGGGATTGAAGGAACTTGCAACCCATCGTTCCAAATGCCGCACCAGGAGACGGGGAGCTGACCTCCTGGATCCCCAGCAGGCGCCAACCGCTACCCCGCGGTTGGCGAATCTCTCAACCTACGACGACGACGACGAAGTGCCTACCCAAAAAAAAACGACCACACGCACAAACCTGGCCTGAGCTGCGGGGTGGGACTACTGGCGCCTGACGAGAGGCGGCCGGACGGTTCGCCGCCGGCGCAGGTCGTGGTGCAGTCGACGAGCACGAGGCCCCCCAGCGCCGCCGGCCCGTCCGCGACGTCGCCGGCGGTGGCGCTAGGGATAGCGGCGGCGCCGCCACAGGGAGCCCGCGGGCTCAGGCTCGCGTCCACCTGGATCTCTTCCCCAGCGGGGTAGTCTGTCTCTCGGGCGCCTGCGAGTTGGTTTTGAAAACGCAGATTGTTTTTAGGCGAAGTCTCGCAGAGTTGAAGCGGGTCGGGTGAAAACACTTACGCATTTGCTCTGTCCCCTGGCTATCCGTCCGTCTGTATGTGATGCGGGGGGGGCTTGATAATTCTCGTTAAGGTGATCCAATGTGAATGAAGTAGAGCATGAAGCTGCGTTGCTATTAGGGAGTTACGTGACTATAAATGCCGCATCAACCAAGAGAGGTGCTCAAAACGTGGAAACATAATCCGGAACGAAAAGACCTGACGACTGCCCCCGTGGGTGGTAGGCTAGGGGAAGTGAGATGGGCATGCGCAGGCACGCAGCGTCCCACGTCGGAGCTCTTGTTCTGCGCGACGTTCCGTGCCCCGACAGAAACGGCTACGAGTTATGAATATCCATCAGTGGACGGCGGCATCGATGACAAATTAAATACTTCTGACGGCAAACGCATGGAGGAAAGCCTAACATGATCCATGCGTATGCCTGGTTTTCCTCGTGTAACTCGGCTCGCAAGTCTCCCCGGTATTTGAGTTGGTGAAATACAGTAAGCTCAAGTGGCCCTATACGTGATGCGGTTTTTAAATATGGTCCCTAATAATTGCTCCAATTTCTTAACACCGAAATCAATAAATACAATCAAATGCGCAATTAGCTTCCAATTTCTTGTAAATGTACTTTTGTTAAATGTTTGCATTCGAAGTTTCAACCTAATTATATCCGCTCCCAGAGATGAAACCCAGTGTATGCTGCGGTGGCCCAAGTGATGACACACAGCACAAGGCGGTGGTGATAAGTACTGGGCGCAAGGCGGAGATGGCAAAGCGCAGTGCGGTGATGAGCGAGACACAGCGGGCAGCGTGACAGTAACAAGAACCACAGCACAGCTGAGACACAAAACACAGGGCGAGGAATACCCCCCCTCCCTCCCCCCTTGTCCACTTGCACATCCGACCCGTGCCAGGACTGGGGCCAGCAGGGCACAAGGGTTGTTTTTGTCCGATATTTTATCGCGTAGAGCACGGAACCTAGCCGTGCTTCACTGGCCTCACAAGACATCGTAATCTGGCTCAGGGCCAAGCCGCGCTTGGGGCGAGGCTGATGACGGCGTGCAATGCGCCCGATGTTGTTCAGTAAGTATGTATGTATACGTACGTGTGTATACATAAGTACTTGTACGTATACACACGTACTGACGTAGCCAACCTTGCTAATCGGAGGTGTGGGAAGCCTCTTAACACAGCGGCGGCGCGGCATCACCTGCACGCGTGCCTAGATCGCGCATTGCGTGCAACATGGCACGGATCGTGCAGTGGAAAAGCAACCCCACCCGTGCTTCCTGACCTCTGCCGCGACTCGCATGTGCAAGTGGCGGGGGGTGTAAAAGATATAAAAGGATTGAAGCGACCAGCGTCGTCGGTTGGCCGCGCGTACCGGGCACGCTGGCGATGCACAGGACGTGCGAGCTGCACACGGCGAACTGCTCGAGGATGCGGTCGGGCTGGTTGGCGTCGCGGACGAGCACGTGGCTCGTGTTGGACGTGCTCGTGCACACCCACACGAGGCTCGAGAGCTCGTCCGCCTGCCGCAGCTCCCGCTGATGCTTCTGCGAAGGAGAGGTCTCGCATTCGTACCGCGACTCTTTTTGCCGTGCGCGCGCGTATGCACACGTACACAAAGCTTGCATTTTCTTGTTTCTTTCGGTAAAGTAGCCGTCCTCAGGTGAAGAACAACCTGAGGACGGCTGCTTGCGTTGTGGCCGAAACGTCGTGAGAATTATTTTATTATGTTTTATTTTTATTATTTCCCTTCTACGCGACTTTACCGAAAGAACCAAGAAGATGAATCCCTGCAGTCACGAAAGCTTTAAATCGAAATTTAATGACGTTTTATTTTTATTATTTAATTGTTTTATTTTTATTATTTTATTATTTCCCTTCTACGTGACTTTACCGAAAGAACCAAAAAGATGAATCCCTGCAGTCACGAAAGCTTTAAATCGAAATTTTATTATGTTTCATTTTTATTATTTTATTATTTCCCTTCTACGTGACTTTACCGAAAGAACCAAGAAGATGAATCCCTGCAGTCACGAAAGCTTTAAATCGAAATTTAAAGCTGTCATTGTCGTCATCATCGGCCATGATCAATCTGCTGCCGGATTAAGCCCTCCCCCAAGCCATTGTCAGCTCTCATGGTACTGCGACGTGACAGTTCATCTACCACCTTTGCATGAGACGATTTCATTGCTCAATCTCCATGGTGAACAAACGCTACGATGTTTCTTCCCTCTCATGGCTGCCACTCCACCAGTGATCTCAACCACCGGCCATCATCTCTTGTGGAAAAGTGTCCTTTATTTGACGGAAATGTCACATAGCAACATTTAGTTTCTCAATGTTGCTATATCACTGTTTATTGGGAAGTCTGGTACATGCGGCCTCGCTGTGTACGATTCCTATTGCTCAACTGGGATATAAGTATGATGAAACATAAGTCTTTGCTTTACCCTTTCTTGGAAATAAAACAGGTGTTAAGATGTTCGAACACCAAATAGAAACCTAGTACAAGGCATCAAGTCTGCATTAACCACAAACACTTGCAGCAAAAACATGCTCTGATAATATATGCACCGTCTTTGAAACTGATTTGGCCTACACCAGACAGCCTTCTGTATGGCTTTGTCTCACCGGTGTTAGACCAGATATTGCCAAAAGACAAACAGTACAAAGGCAATGCAAGTGTTAAAGTATTAATCACTTGGGTAAAGCAGTTATATCTATGGGACCTTTTTTTCCCGTATCAAGATATACGGTAACCAACTGAACATCGACTTAACATTCCTGTGCGAGTCTCAGAGATGGGCTCGAACCTGCAGCTCCTGGTCCAGGGAGCTCCACGGCTACCCTGGTCGGCTAGTGACGAGCTCTCGACATTGGGAAGTCTGCAACGTACGTGAGATTCCTCGAGCTCAACTGGGATCTACGGTGACCGGGACAGGCTCCCAACCTGCAGCTCCTGATCCAGGAGCTCGAGGCTGCTGCTCGGCGAGGCCGGCGGGGAGCTCTCGACGAGCTCGCCGCTCGCTGCCTCCGCCGCGTGGCTGTAGAAGACGCTGGCGCCCACGATGGAGCCGCCGTCAGCGGGTACGGCCGCCCGACAGGTTCACTCCCGCCGCGCACCACAGCTGGTGAGAAAACACAAACACCCGTCGCCGTCAACGTCACGGCCGCCACCACCGCCGCCGTCGTCGTTGTCGAGCATCGTCCCGCCGGCAATTATCGCCAACCAGCAGCGACTACAATCCTACAGTCGCTGTCAGCAGTGTGTAATCAGCCACCGCGATTTCACCAATGTCCTCGTCCAATCATCGTCAACTATGTGGCGTCAATTGTTTATATTTCTCATCCACAACTCAGCTCATGGTCTACTCTAAACCGCATCCGCACAAACCGTGGCGGCATATGCAGATACCTGATGCACAAATGGAAAATTTAAAACTCTCCAGTGGGCGACTGTGGTCAATCCAGAACAGACTGTACAACGTATAATGACGCAAGGCCCGATCCACAAATACAAAGGGGACATCACAGCGATACACTGTACTGCTCCTGACACGGTTATCCATCTTGACCACCTGAAAGTGAAATAAAGTTATTGCTCTACATCAGCCACACGAAATGAGAAGAAGATCCAAAACTTATCCTCTTTAATTATCAAGTCAAACAATTAGAATCACGTAAGCAATGGAGGCGATGATTCATATTTGATATTTGGGGTCAGATGACACGACTGAAATGTGTTGCACATCCTCCGCTTCCACTCGACACGGCCACAGAATCAAGTTCCCACGTGACCAACGTGCCAGTTTCTTGCTGCTTCATCACACCGCTGTGTTGGAGAGCCATCGACAACATTTAACAATTGAGCAGGGGACGTTTCGCTGGCCGTTGCGACCAACAAGATCAGCGAGTCGTGAGAACTGCACGATGACGCTGGTTGCAGCTGCCAGTGAGCGCACTCGCGACGGTGGCTGCGGATCGCTCTCCGGCGCACGGGGTGGTGCTGCTGAAGCAGTCACAAATTGAGACGTTGGTTCATCACGTGTTTAGACGGTTACCGCATGGCGCGCTTTAAGATGCATTTCTGCTGGCCGTCTGGAACGCTGTTCCTCCCGATATTAGGAAGCCGCTGGGAGCTATGCACTTTTAAATAATCTAGATTGAAAACTTATTTCTTTAGAACTGCGTTTTGTGTTAAGTTTGTTGTCCTTCCCTGTACCTCCAATTAGCATGATTTGCTACATATGGCGCAAAAGAAGTTCAACATACATATATACATACATGACAACTTTATTAATTGGCTGTGTTGGGTGGAGGAGGGTGTATGGACACACATTTTATTAACATGATCTGGCGCAAAAAATATAAATTATGAATTATAATATTGGTCGCAAAGCCTATGTTTCAAACAGTGCGCCTATGTACTACAACTTTCTACAAAATGAAATTACATATCAATTATAAATATACAATTTCTGGCTGCCCTGAGATAGTTTGATAATTCCAAATTTCTGTGCCAGGGATCAGTCCCTCTATAGGACGATCATTGTTTACTTCCCACCAAAGTAGTGGTCATTTTATTTGACTCCAGAAAGACGTGAGAATCAGTCAACCCTGGCTGGGATCTGAACTTGTGATCTTTTAACTGAGGTCGCGCTCCCTTAAACCTCGAAGGATAAAGACAATCTCTCAAGGCCACAGTATGACTGTAAGAGTGTGATGGGGCCTCGTGACGGGGCCTCGTGACGGGGCCTCCCGACGCGGCCGTGTTGTTCACCTTCATGCTGGGCTCCTGCTCGTGAAGAGGCCGGCAATACACAGGCACTGGGAGCTGCTTCACCTTTTCCTCAGTCCAGCTGAGATGCACTGCTCTTCTGTCGCACACCACCACCATTAACACCACCCACTCTAGAAATCTAAAGAAAGTAAAGCATATATAAGTTCGATTTTTATTTTATTGCTTTTTTTTTACTTTTTCAAAAGAATACTCAATGAGAAGTTTTTAAATATTTTGTTTCCATATTTGACTGGAGGTGTAATGGCAGACTCTCTAAAATATATATATACATACAAATATATCTATATATATACATATAAATATATAATACACCCCCCTTGGATCTGTACAGCATAGTGAGATCCGGTGGAATTGGGATTGCTAAATAATTTGCATTATGATACGAAATATCAATTTATGGAGTGTCGAAAAAGACCCACAACATCAGAAATGGGGATAAATCCAGATGCAAAAATAACTAAGCAGACAATAACACACCTCCTTCCCATATCTGACCCTTCAAATCACAAACCAAAGTTTTTTTTTTTTTACAAATCTCATCAGTCGCAGTCTTTTGGGAGTGCGTAATTTCATCAGCATTGGGTTCAACACAAGCAAACTCTGCACAGTGTGTCATCAGCAGTCAAGGCTTGCTTGAGCCGACGCTGGTAACTGCCAGATGTTTATAGGCAAAGGACCCTCTCTGTTAGTTACGGGTGTCCTAGTTCGACACAAACTTATACGACACAGATACCAACATCTGGGTGGCTGGTCGGAGAAACGCGGAGTTCATGAGTGGAGGGGGGCGCGACTGCACCTGTCTGTACTTATTGGGCAGGCTCCAGCCGTAAGCCTGGGGTCGACCATCCTCCTGCTTGACAGTGAGCACGGACTTGGCGGTACTGCTCTCGCTTCTGCTCTCTCCGCGACGGGGACAGGCTACACACAAAAGACAAAGATCCCCCGTGTAGCCTTAACATACTGTAGGGGTAAGTGTTGTTATAGCGAGAATTTATGAAGGCAGGCTCGGCACACGCGGGGGTGGGTGACCAGCACCACGCCCGACCGCCTTTGTCTCCCCAGCGGCGATTATTTTACACACCGCACCGGGTACTCATTTGAGGTTGAGTCGACCTCGGAGAGGCCAGGATCGGTTCAGATAATCAGCTAATCGTCACTGGTGTTGGTAGTGAGAATCAAACTCGGGTCGCTAGGTTCATTGTGCAGCGCGCTAACCGCTACACGACCGCTCCCCACACACACACAGATCCCCCGTGTGGCCTGTCGCAGGATTTTTGGGGGCAAGAGTTGTTAAGTGAAAGCAATTTGTTACTCAAAAGAGCTTTAAGGCAGTGCTCATCTCCCGTTTACAGCCCTGAGCCAAAGGTGGAAATTCCACATTCCTTCAAAGGGGTGAGTATCTCCATATGACCACTGTTGACTCCCTTGCAAAGTGATACTCGTTTTACAAACTCTGGAAAGATGATGGGCTGGGTCAACTCCCACCGATAATTTGAACATGCCACCTTCCGATTGTGAGCTGCTCGCTCTCCCGCTGAGCTACCTGCCTGGTGTTGTTTGCGAGCACCTATAGAGGTCGGCATGGCGCTCGAGGCGACGGTGTGGACAAGTACCATGGCAGCTGCCTTTGTCCGCCCCAGTGGTGATGTTTCACACTGTAACCGGTAGTCATTTAAGGACGAGTTGGCCTCGGAAGGCCAGGTTCAGATATCTGTCACTCGTTTTAACCATGGCCTGGAATCGAACTCAGGTGGCCGGGTTCATACGATTGTGCTACTGCTCCATTAATGGAATTGAGCAACCATTACCAACAACAACGACTCTCTCGAGAAGTAATTGAGGCTTTCCAGGGTAATTAAATGCCATCACAATAATAATAACTAATTACACTGCTCCCTCATCGCTAGCGATCAACTTGCGCTAACAGCCATCACTTCCGTTGTGACAGCTTGGAGGCCCAACTCCAAACGACGAGAAAACCCACCACCACCTTTAATTGCGTGCAGGTTGCAAAACAGATTTAACATATACAGCTGACAACAGCAGGAAGACTTGACTCCCATCCAATATACGTAGCATGCATATATATCATGTGAGAACCACATTAGATGTACAATGCTCTCATTGTCTAAGCTGGTGGCGTATGAGGCCGAGTGGCATTGTGCACGCAATGTGGTGGTCACATGACATGCAGGCAAGGCATGAAGAGAGTCGTGCCTTCCTGCTGTCTGTGAGCACCGATGTGCGTTGTTAAATCTAAATCTCAGGCCTGGTGGAGAAAATAACCCAAGTTTCAAGCACATTGTGTAACCAGAGACCAAGATGAGTCTCATAGTCTGCTGGTAGAAGGCAGCGATTGCTATGCGCAGCCCCAATTGAATCGTCTGCAGGTACTTAATTCTTTTTAATTGGCGAAAATTTGGCCCCTGACGCTGTCACACAATGGCCTACCCTTGCGAATGACGTCACGGGATCTTTAGCATCAGCGGTGAGAGAAGCAGACAGCGCGCAGCATTATTACTACGGTTACAAACGTCCCTCGTACATTAAGCAGTCCTCCCCTCCTTAATCTCCTTCCGTTCCTCTCTTAAAGCCTCAGCTCTTCTTGATTTACTCATTCTCTTCCCTCCCCTCGCCCCTCCACTCCTTCCCGTCTCTCCCCTACCCGAAGTACCCTCTCAATCGCTGTCACTCGTTACTCAATTCTTGTGTAGCACAACCCTGTCATCCAAATCATAATCTACCATGTCACCGTGTTGTAAGCTACGTCATCGAGCGCATTCAGTGAAGGGGGGCCTCCATATGAATAGAAATTGATCTTCAAGTGCGCCCGCAGTTCAATAACCACGGGGCGGGCCACCAGATCCGAACGGGGGCCCCACGACGCCGCCCGCCGCACGCCGCGCGTGTGTGACCCTAACTCGTCGTAGAGGAAGTCGAAGGCGCGGGACTTGTCGACGGGCAGCTGGGCGATGGCCGTGCTCTTGGGGGGCGCCCCAGGAGTCACGTGACTGCTCGGGGCGTTGTAACGCAGGTTGGGCTGGGACGGTCTCCTCGTTGCCGTGCCGGAAGGCCCGAACAGGCGGCTGAAGCTGATAAACAAAAGAAGCGGGCAGGCAAGGCAGGCAAGGTCAGGCAAGGTCAGGCAAGGTCAGGCAAGGTCAGGCAAGGTCAGCCGGCTACCCAACAACGCCCCCATTGATTACAAACGTGTACAGGGTGGCTCACAAGTCAGGACACATAGGGTCGATTATCCACTTGCAGTTGATCTGATTTGCGGATTAACCTCACACCTGAGATTCTGACATAAATTAAAAACTCATAAATTTTCCCTTAAGCCCAAATTAATAATCTAAAAACAGTTACACATTGTTATCCTTGGAAATGTTTAGTACAAGTCACGTGCTTAGACCGACCAAATATGTGCTCCCGTTAATCCTAAATCCACGTGATCGCCTCTACAGTACAGTAGTTGCATAGCTTTACAACAGTGGGTGGAGTTTGATTGATGGTGATTGGCGTGGCTCTGCTATCCACTTCGTAGGTGGAGTCTTCTGCATGGGAGCAGGACAACGTGTTTTCTTACCTTATACATAATGTATGTGGTTTTTGGCACTTTTTCTAACAAATGTTCCAACTGACTCCATTAACATGACTGCACACGCTCATTTTCTTTTCTAATGAATTTACAGATTTTTTTTTTATATTTACAACTGTGTAACCATTGAACATTCATCAATGATGTTTTGTGGTCTCAATTAATTCAGGGTTCTTGGTCGAGTTTTGTAAACGACAGATTTTAGGTGACCCCGCAGGAAGAAGAAACATATATTAATAACGATAATAGATCAAATGTTAACTTCACGAGTACACTATTAAAATACTGTAATGCCCGTGGTAAAATAAATGAAATATCCCTGTGTGTCCTGGCTTTTGGCCCACCCTGTATTAATACGCGTCCATTCTGCGTCTCCAAATACAAAGAAAGTATTCCTCGTAGTCGGCCGATTGGCTGCTGAAAAGACAACAGGCCGATGTGTGTATATGCTCTATCATGGGACATTTTTTGCCAGTATCTAACTGGCAAAAAAGTTCCCACAATACAGCTGCTCAACCCGTGATATAAATGCTCTGATATGTGCAATGTTTTGTACTATTCGCATTTTGGCATTCTCTGGTTTCACACTGGTGAGACTAGGCCCTAAAGAAGGCTGTCTCTGTTGTAGGCCAATCAGTTTCAAGCATGATTGTTTGCATGTTCACCACAAGTACGTGTGGTTAATGCAGACTTGATTACTTTCAAAAGGTTTCTATTTGGTGTTTGAACACGAAACTGTCTATAAGCTATGGGTCATAACACTCCGTATGAGTGCAGAAAGAGCTGGTATGCACGATTGATTAAATCAATCATGCGCGATTGATAAAAATACAATTAAAATGTGTTCTACTACAAGCAGGGATGGCGAGTAAAATAGATCAACAAATTATATAATTAATCCATCAGCCTTTGGCCATTTTTTCTACGAGAATTTGTTCAAATAAAACCAGCTTGAACCAGGTTTTAGTTGAAACATTAATCAGCAAGATGTATCGTTTAACGCTTTTTCATTCCGAGACATCTGCAAGTTGCAGGGTGGGTCCTGTTCACCGCTTAATCTCGAAACGCAAGTGGTTAGCGTTGATTTTATTTAGAGAGGAATCGCACCGTTATTTTTAAAGACATTGTATACTCATCACAGAGAAAGGTAGCGACACGACCGCAACTCTACGATAGCTGGCGCCAAACTGTGCCACACGCCCTCCTGCATGGCCTTGTGGGAGCCTCGGTACCCATAAAGTTATTTTTTCTTCCGGCTTCATTTTTTCATGATATAAACGTACATCACCGGAATGGAATCGGAAGAAAAACTAATGATGTACACGTACGTCATCGTAACGGGAAATGGTTACTAATGTTTAACTTCTCCACGTCAACGGTACAACAACTTTTAACAAAAGTCTGACAGGGCACAAGAAACACTTCCGTCACGTTTAGCGTGCACTATTTGACGCTCGCAAGCTGGCCTTGCGTCTAATAAGCCGTGATGTAGGACAGCGCTCACAATTGCCAGATGGATGACCGAGTCCTCTTCTCTTGGGCGTTCAGCTGCTCCCGTGAGGCCCTGAGTCGACATCACGTTCGGGAACAGAAACATTCAAGTCAAATTCGTCATGTGCTCTTTGTACGTTGGCTGGCGCTGTCCCAGACATTAGTATAACAACTATTGCACAAACCACTGGACCACCGTTCCAGGAAACTAGCGTTGACAGTGATAAAGATGTTTAATACACTTTTTAGTCACGATTTGCCACCGTGTACAGTGCGAGTGGTGCACGTGTGGTTTGCACGAAACAAATGCTGCTTAATCCATAATAAGTATAACCCGTAAAAACAAAGTTTTTCACTCTAAATCCTTTATATGCGTGGCGGCTAGAGTCCTCTCGTCCTCTGGCTTGAGATGGCTGCCACCTATGGGTCAGATGATTGTCTGCAGTATTAAACAATTGGTAATTAAATATTTAATTTGTTTTCCCTAAACAGTGTAAAATTTTGGACATTTTTTTTCACGAACATTAATTGTCTCGCACAACGAGTCTGTGTGCAAAATGTCAGCTCGATTGGATCACGGGAAGTGGGTTAAAAAACGACTGAAAGGTTTGCACGGTCGTAAGCAAGCAAGCAAGCACGCAAGCAAGCAAGCAAACTTAATATAAAGAATTTAAAAATCGGAAGTTCTGTTGGTTGGCACTCAGGCGAAACCAAGATGGTCACCGCTCCACGTGCTTTCAGATGCACTGCTGCGGTCGTCTAGAACGCTCTTCCTTCCGAGATGGGGCTATGCACTTTTAAATCATCTGGATTGAAAACTCAGTTTCTCTGCTTTTTGTGTTTAGTTTGTTGTCCTTCCCCCGTACCGCCGATTAGCGCGGTTGGCTGCGTACGTATGGCCAAAGACGTTCAACATCTAGACGTACATCAATGTTCACGCTGCATGAAAGTATCCGAGCTGCGGTGGCTCAGCGACGCCGACGCGACCGCGGAGCGAGCTAACGAGCGTCGCTCGCCAGGGGCTTCCTCACCGGATCATCTCGGTCCAACGCACGGCCTCCTGCAGCTCCATGAGCCGCTCCTTGTACTGGTTCCGCTCCATGAGCACGCGCGCCATCTCCACCCGTGTGAAGCGCTTGCGCTGCGCCATCGGCATGTCGTTCTGCGACGCACGCAACGAGCTCAGCGCCGGCGCGGGCCACGTGCTCACAAACGCAGGCGACAAACCGGAATCGCGTCGCCACCTGTCGTGGGGTTTTTTTTTCTCCCGTGCAGGATTCTTCTCTTTAATTATTAAAAATAAAAAGGTGGCGGCTGCTGTCTTTGGAAATCTGTCAGTCTTCGCCCCAGTTTTTGTCAGTTGTGAAGCAATGATAATGATAACACCACTCACTCCAGACAACGCATTTACATTTAGTTGTTCCCACGATTCAGATATATTTATCTTAGCACCATATGTCAGATTTGTTTGTACCTCAAAGGTGGCAACCGCATGTCCAGATGATCCTGTAATAAAACTCATTTCTTTAGAACGGCTTTTTGTGTTTAGTTTGCTTGTCCTTCCTCCACACCTCCGATTCGCACGGTTGGCTACGTACGGTGCAAAAGAAGTTAAATTTACATACATAATGAGAAAGACCTTGAAGTCACCATCATCATGGCAGAGTGTGCAATCTTGTAATTTAGTGATGGAGTTATATTCATGTCTCTACACGGTCACTAAAAGGGCTGTCTCGCCTGGGTAGTTTCTGTAATGGATTTTCCAAAAACATCTTTCAGCTCTGCATGTAGCACTTCTTTCGCACCGTACGTAGCCAACCGTGCTCATCGGAGGAACTTTAAAAATGTAATTAAAAGCATTATTCAGACAGGCCTAATAGCCAGTCATAACCAAAAGCTGAAAATACTTGCAATATAAACATTTTAATAATGACCATCTTGATAAAGCTACAGTTAGGTAGGTCTCCCTTATTATAGGATGAAAACTATTTATTTTGACTGCCAAAGAGTCAAAGTACAAAGAGTGAAATTAAATACGAAAGAAGTACTAACAGATGATCAAAATCAAAGTGACAACATAATACACACCTACATATTAGAATAAACGTACAAATTAAAACCTGTATGCAAAATATATTATTTCTGATGTAGCTCACCTCATCCAGGTCATCTTTGTTGGCTTGTTTCACCTGCTCCAGCTCCTGCTTGGTCCTGTAATACACACAGAGAGCAATCCCAGACGCCCAGACTCAAGTGGCAAGTTGATTTTGTTGAGCCAGAGAAAAACTAGAGAACACCATAATGAGACTCATTTGCGTGAGTGGGTGGGTAGGTGATTGGGTGGATGAGTGGGTGGATGGGTGAGTGAGTGGGTGAAATGAATGAGTGGGTGAGCGGGTGGGTGGGGTGGGTGAGCGGGTGGGTGAGCGGGTGGGTGAGCGGGTGAAAGGGTGGGGGGGTGGGTGGGTAGGTGAGTGGGTGGGTGGGTGAGTGGGTGGGTAGGTTATTGGGTGGATGAGTGGGTGGATGGGTGAGTGAGTGGGTGAAATGAATGAGTGGATGAGCGGGTGGGTGGGGTGGGTGAGCGGGTGAGTGGGGTGGGTGAGTAGGTGGGTGAGTGAGTGAGTGGAGTGGTAGATGGGGGGGATGGGGGACTGGATGAGTGGGTGACTGCAAGTTGATGTTCTTTAGCCAGATAGTTGGACCCTCAAATATACCCCCAAGCAGGTTATTGATATCAGATCGCAATGCCAAAGTGAAGATGAGCTTCCGGTCGACCTACGGCATACACCATAGGATGGTGGTAACGGGAACGCTGTGCAACCACAGCATTGTCCGGGCTCAAACATCCTTGGCTTTACAAGATCCGATAAAACCAGGCACATTCTGGGTGATTTGGTATGAGTTCCTACAATAAAAATTCACCTCAATCCCTGTGATACACACCCCCACGATTTTGTACAGCATCTCGAGATGTATTTGAACGTTTTGGCGGTACACTGGTGGCGCGTGGAATAAAAAATATATATTTTTAGCAGTAATTATTTATTTTCCCCACGATTCGCAACCCCGGTCAGAAAATCAAGCGGCGTGGTGGTGGATCAAAATCAGTTCTCGTGATTCAAAGCAGTCGGAAGACGAATGTTCTGAGCGGCTGAACCCGAAGCTTCAGTCTGTTGCCGTAGAGCAGCACCCAGCCTGGTGACGATTGACCGGCTCCGTGTTCCAAACGCCAAGAGTTGAGACTCCACATGCCCGAGACTTGATCAGGTCGCTTCCTCGATTCAACGGAATCCCCAAAACCACAGGTCACTACTCACCTTTTCTAGCAAGTCTCAGGAGACTGGATAAACCTTCTAATTGCGTCAAACTTGCGTCGAGTTTAGATTTTAGACTGTTCCGTGAGGACCGGTGCGTTACGCTGCACACGCCGTACCGCCAACACGTCCGCTTGCATTCAGCCTTCATTACGTTGAACTTATATTGCGATTGCTTGTGTTGCAATCGAAACGTCGTGAGAATTTTTATATGAATTCCTGCAGTCACGAAAGCTTTAAATCGAAATTTACGTTGAACTTCTGTTGTTGCCGTACGTAGCCAACCGTGCTAAATCGGAGGTGCACGGTGGGGGCGGCAAGGACAACACACCAAAAACACGCAAAAAACCACACTGTACATGTTGAACTCATCGTCCCCTCTCACCTCTTGAGGTCATCCTCGGCCTCCTTGAGACGTCCCTCCAGCCGAGCCCTGCTGGCCTTGAGGGAGCCGAGCTCCCCGAGCAGCGACTCGCGCTCGCTGCCCAGCTGCTCCACCTGCGCAATGAGGTCGTTCTTCACCACGTTCAGCGCGTTCCTGCACGGCGCCAGAATCGCAATCCCAGTGAGTTACTCACGCTGGGGGGGAGGTGGGGGGGAGGGGTAAATCCTGACGGGCTATTCAAAGCTCTTTTTTATCACGGATGTCCAATAAGGGGGCGTGCTACACAAGAGAGAGATGCGGGGGAATCCCAGCTGCCCCCCAGAGCACGGCTGGCACTAGCCGGAATTCGCGTTTCAACAGCGCCTCCGATTAGCACGGTAGGTTAGCCGGAATTGTATGTATGTACGTATGTTGAACTTCGTTCGCACCGTACGTAGCCAAACCGTGCTAATCGGAGGTGCGGGGGGGAAGGACAACAAACTAAACACACAAAAGGCAGTTCTAAAAGCAGTACGGTGTGCGAAAGAAGTTCAACATACATGCATACCGAACCGGGTTGGCCAAAATATATTGAAATAACCCAAAACTATAATGGATCATATATTTTACGATGTGTTACCTGACATAACTACATTTGGAGGCTTGCCCCCACATTTTACTCTCCGCCTGATGAAGACCGCTTGTGTTGCGATCGAAACGTCGTGAGTTTATTTTATTTTATTACTTTCAATTAATTAGTAATATTTTAGTTTATTATTTTAATTTTATCTTATTCTTTATTTTTTTTTCTCTTTTTTTTTTTCAATTTACGTGACTTTACCGAAAGAACCAAGAATATAACGTATTATGATTGCACGAGAATACGTTTGTGTATAATGCATGATATAGTCAATGTCAGTTTACGACACGTGTAGTGAGTCACTCAGAGACACTAGCAGTTGGAGGCACTCTATTTATGACAGCTTTCACAGGTACAAGGAGTAACTACACTCTGGTCAGGACAGCTAACAGGCTGCCTGACCAACACCAACGGTTCCACTCCAAACAACAGCCCCGAACCTTGCTCGGGGTCCCCCCCCCCCCCCTTTTATCCTCCCGGCGTGGCCGAGGGCGGAGTGCACCCACTTGAAGGTTCCCTCACGTGCCCCCTCTATCACCTTTGCCCACATCCCTCTCTCCTGGCCTATCACAGTGGCCTGCTGGCAGACAGGGCTGCTACAACAGCAGATGCCCTTCTCTGCCAGCAACCAGCGCTACGCGCCATAGTGACCCAGTCCATGTCACTACAGGCGTATTAATATTAATGTTAGTAATGGGGGAACGGGTGGTGGGGAGGGGTGATCGGGGAGCGGTGGTGGCGGATTGGAGGGCCGATGTATCCTCAGAAAAGCGCACTGAATTCGTGCCGTAAGTATTTTTGTTTTTTTTTGGTCTGCGTAGCGATTTCATCCACATTACACAGACTAATGTATCTATTAAACACATCGGGTTTCTGTTATTGTTGTTGTATTTACAGCTAGGCAGACTTTCAGCTCTTTGGACCAGGGCTTTCCCCCGCCCCATCTATCAGCTGCAACAGCAACGAGACCCAAGGCTGCGGTCACACAAAACGTGGAGCTGTGGAGAGCCGCGTGTGCCCCCAATGCAACGCGTGGCCTCACCCAATGATCACTTATGGGTCTACCGCACACAGCAACAAAACTGCAGCGCAGTCTTTTGCAGATTAAAAGTGTCTTTTGCTGAATGCAAATGACACCATCACTGCTGCCTTAACAGCGCTCAAAAGAAGACCTTTTAGCTCGTCACAAGAGAAGTAATTATGGGATAAAACTATCAAAATGTATACACATAACCCGAGGGCTTAAACCCAGGCTCTCGGGGTTCAAGTTCGCATTGAGACATGCACATAAGCATTTGGGTCCGAGAAAGGAAAAAGAAAATACGAAGTACAGCCCAAGGTTAATCCAGTACCATGTCTTTAGGTAATGAGCATTGTTTGACCATACAGGCAGTCCCCGGGTTCCGCAAGGGTTAGGTTCCCGAGAACGATCCGTAACCCAAATTTTCCGTATGTTGGAAACTGAACAAATTTCCCCCCAAAATCAACGATAAAATCCCATAGCCGGAAGTAGTTGTGCCTCCCGTGCCCGATTGCTAGTTCGTTTTCTATCAGTTCTGTATCGCACTGTCGTCCGTTTTCTATCGCTACTTGTGTATCGTATCACTGTAAATACACTCTGCAATTCCTATGATTCTTTAATTTCATCGAATATCTACCCTAACACTACCCAAAATTCAACTAATGGAATGTAGACTGTATCCAATTGTTTATGAATACCACGAAACATTTTAATATTAATTGTTAACAGAAAGCAGTCACTTTAGAATGTCCGTTTAGCGTGCATTAGGCTAGGCCAAGACTTATCCGATCGCTTTTGGCTGAGACCATAAGCAATCGAAGTGTAATTGAGTTAAATAAAGTACATAGAGTAAATGACTCATGAAATCAACTTAAAACGAAAATAAATTGCATTAGACATGGGACAAAAAGTTCATTCTAAGCATATTAAACAAATAATGACGTAATGCTACAAAAAATTCCATTTACCTGAATCCTCGTGAAACTCGGGCTCGGTGAAGGCGGTGTTTTGGTGGAGTGCAACCTCACCGTGCTGCACTACTTGCGCTTACGTAACTAATGCACAAATGTCCACATATTGACTTTTTTGTTAAGATGATTTATGGGAGCATTTATGCAAAACCGGATTTCTGTAAGTCGGGTCTTCTGCAACCCAGGGATTGTCTGTACTTCACCGTACTGGTCAGCGCAGGTTGGTGACAGTAAGGCCCAGAACTTGTTCAGATATCACTCACCACTGATACTGGCCCTGGTCGGGAATCAATCTCCTGAGTTCCCACATCAAATATGTCAAATGTTGATATCACTATTACTATAAAGCATCGATCAATTGGCCGATTGCTATTCGGGGAAGCTTTTTCAGAATATCCCGAGGACGTGGTATTGAACTCCACATTCCGCGCACACACACACATGCACACACGCACGCACACACTGCACGTACTTTGTTTCCATGAGCTGTGTATTTTCCATTATCAGGTTCTCCACCTCCACCCCGAGACCTGTGAGGGGGGAAAGACAGCGCGAGATTGGGAGGTCATTCATTGGGTACCACAAGCCTGCTGGATGCATTTAGCAAAGAGGCATCTCTACACAAAGGCTTGCAGGTAGTAGGGAGCGGTAGTGTAGCGGGTAGCGCGCTGCGATACGAACCCGGTGACCCGAGTTCGATACCCGCTCATGGCCAACACCAGTGAAGATTATCTGAACGGGTCCTGGGCCTCTCCTAGGTCGACTCAGCCTCAAATGAGTACCTAGTGTGGCGTGTAAAACATCAGCACTGGTGTTGGCCACCCACCCCCTTGTGTGTCGTGTCGGCCGTCATAGGTGCTCGCTAACAGCACTTGCCCCAACAGTCTGTTAAGGCGATACGGGGATGTTTTTGTTTGTTTTGCAGGTACCACCATCATCATCAGGAATTTTACGGTTAATTCCCAGGCTGTAAAACAATCACATTTAAAAAAAATAACCATTCCTGCATCCACATTAAAATTAATAGGACTCTTTGACAGGCTAAGAAAAGTCCAAAAAGACTCCCATTCATTTGAATGGATATGAAGAAGTCGGCATTGAAATTAATGAGGCACCTACGAACAATTTCCAGCTCTGGTTTTGTGGCAGTCGAGCAGCACTCGGATTGAGTCGAGCAGCGTTGCAATTCTCTTGGCTGAGTAACTTCCAAAGCTGCCTGGCTTACGGATGATAAATTGCTGACGACGATCACGCTGATGGTGTGTATTTTGAAGAATATAATGAAGGTGGGAGAAATAAAAGCAGAACACTGCGAGATTCTAGTTGTAACCCTTTCCCATTCCAATGATGTACGTGTAACGAAATTGGAATGGAACAAGGCAGCAAAACTAAAATAATATACATTTAAAAAAAAAAAAATTTTAAACACACTTTTAAAATATATATTAATACGTACTTTTTAGTGTAATCAAATATTGTAACAAAATCTTCTTTTGTCCAGCAGTAGATCCATCGTCACATCGTAAACATGAATGTACTACACTATGGGGACCTCATTTGCCAGTAAAAATATGATAATTGGTTCTTTACCCTTCTATCTGGCAACAAAACTGACACCTTTTTGCAAGGAGTCATGTTTGCATAGACCGCAATACCTGCAGTCATAAATACAAACAAAAGACATAACTCTGATAATGTGCACTGTCCTTGAAGTTGATTGGTCCACACCCGAGACAGCTTTCCTTCGAGCCTAGTCTCATATGGGTTGGACCAGATGACGCCAAAAGGCGCCTTTTGGCGTCATCTGGTCCAACCCATATGAGACTAGGCTCGAAGGAAAGCTGTCTCGGGTGTGGACCAATCAACTTCAAGGACAGTGCACATTATCAGAGTTATGTCTTTTGTTTGTATTTATGACTGCAGGTATTGCGGTCTATGCAAACATGACTCCTTGCAAAAAGGTGTCAGTTTTGTTGCCAGATAGAAGGGTAAAGAACCAATTATCATGAATGTACTGTAGTAGTGGAAGAACTCCACGACTCCAGGCAGTGGCCCCCGAAGCTTGCCATAACGTAAGGGACCGAGGGCAATTAGACCCAAGCCGAAACATAAGAATGTTTAAAAATATATATGTATTGTCATCAGTAGGACATAAGTATACCAAGTCTGCAGTCGATACCACATTGGGAAGTGGATTAAAATTGAGTTACAAGATTTGAGGATACAACAACAACAGACAGTAAGTTAAATAAAAGCGTGTAATAAAATAAATCTATCGGTACCGAGGCTCCCACAAGGCCATGCTGGAGTGTGTGGCACAATTTGGCGCCAGCTATTATCGAGTGCGGTCGTTGTCACCACAGTTCTCTGCGGTGAGTACAACATCTTTAAAAACAACCGGCACTACGCCTCTCTAAATAAAATTAGCGCTAACCGCTTGAGTGTTCCGAGATTGATTGGTGAACGGGACACCCACCCTTCAACTTGCAGATGTCTCGGAATGGGAAAGGGTGAATATTGCATCAATCTTCCCTGGGTATAATAAATCTCCGTATAAAAAACGAATGATTTATATATATATAGACAGCTAAATCAGACAATAAGGATCACCTGCAGAATTGGTGAAGTATAGTCATGGCCAGCTCAGCGTTGTGTGGGGACCCCCCCCCACCCCCATTCGTGCTTACCCAGCAGGTCGGCCCCCTCGTCCACTTCACAGATGACCTCCGACCCCGCTGACGAAAGCTCTGCATACAGAGAGCTGTCGTTCACCCCGGTCTCCGTGTCGGGCCGGCTGGGTGTGCTGCAACTAAAGGGTCACAAACGCCTCCAAGATGTCAATGTATGTGTGCTTAACTTCTTTCACACCCGTAAGTAACCAACTGCGCTAATCGAAGGTGCGGGGGGAAGGACAACAAACTTAACACAAAAAGCAGTTCTAAATAAATGACAGCATGTCGACAATTCAAACTTCTGCAGCGTGCAGGCTAGAAACAAATATAAATTACAACACGCATCGGGTGCTGCTACTGCTGCTCACAAAGAGCAGGAATGAGCCACACACCTCCCATCATGCCCCATGTGCATGTCACCTGACCACCGTATTCCATGTACAATGCTCTCACAGCCTTGTCTAGACCACCAGCTCAAAAGAGCCGAAAGCGTGGCCGCATGATCGTTTCGAGCATTGCGCGTCGTCGTTCAGAGAAGGCTCCACAACAGAACGTCGTTAAGGAGTGGGCCCAGCTCAGTGTGGGGAACGTCAGCGGGAGAGCTCACGCTGACAGGAAGTGCGGCCCACAAGTGGACCGTCAGCCTCCGAACCCGCAGTTCGCGGGGATGGAGGGCCGCGCACGCTGCACAGACCTGCTGCCCACGTGCTGCGCATCGCGGCCCCTGCTGCCGTCCTTGTTGCAAGGTACCGGGCCGAGCTCTGGAGTCGTCTCGATGATGCCTTGCACGCCGGCCCAGCCAGAGGCTTTGTCTAGCGGGGAAGAGCGCAGACTCAATACGGTATACAACACTGCTTGTGTGTTGTTCTACACCTGATGACGGTTGCTTGTGTTGCTTCCGAAACGTCGTGATTTAATTTATTTGTTTTCATTTTCATTTATTTTATATTTTTTACCTACGTGACTTGACCGAAAAAAAAATCAAAGAGTATGGATCGTTGCAGTCATGAAAACTTCAAATCTAGAATTGTGTGTTGTTGTTAAGCATTATGCGAAAACTAAATATAAGCAGTATAAAAATGTAGGTTTTTGCAACCAATATTAAAGTTTTTTGGGTTAGATCGCCTAAGTATAAATGTGTCATTAACCTATCACCCGACACAGCTAATTAGTAAGGTTTGTCACGTAAATAAAATGTGCCAATTAGTTACTACTTCAACACACCGGTGTGTTGGAGAGTAAACCCAATACATTTACAATTTGAGTACGACCTTTCGCTGGTGATTAACAACCAGCATCATCAGGCGATTTGTAAAGAATTGTGGCAAATGGACTAAACATTTGATCTATATGCAGAGGCACAGATAGGAGTTCTGTTGATGCAGCTTTTTTACTGCGGTAATGTACACTCGGCCGACATGCAGATGAGATGATCTTGATGATAAAAATTATAATGTTTAGTTTTCTACAGCGTGGTTCATGCAAATCGCATCTCACAATCGCCGAGGAACCAACAGAGAAGCTTCAAGACAGCCGGGTGGTGCCGGCAATTACCCAAGCTTCGAGGTCGCCTATATATTAAGATGTTTTCGGCAAATGAATGAGCCTTTTTACGACAATGTTCCATTGATCATACGTCAGCTAATTGATCAACGGACTTGACTTCAGAAGTGAAGCAAGCTTGATTGATGGTCTTAGCAAAGTTGTCATCACCATTACCATCAGATGCACAAAAATAAAACCTTTCTAAAAAAATGGTTTTGAAATTAAAACTACAAACTATTTGTTTTACTTTACCAGGTAAGGCCCACCTAACCGTATAGCTCTTTTTCAGAAGCGACCTGGCCACAAATGATAGCTCAATGAAGTGTCTTATTGTGTAGAAATGTACAGCAGCCAAATACTCTAAACGTATGTTGATTCTAAATGTGGAGGGAAAACCAGGGAACCCAGAAAAAAATTCTACGCAACCACGTGGAGAGAGAGACATGCAAACTCCAAATATACAACAGGCGTCAGGGTCGGGATAGAACCCACGACCTCCTCCATACCAGGTGAGGTAGTTAACATCTCGCCACCGTGGCACCCACTTGACTTGGATTTCGTAATTTAATTTGACCAAGCCGGCCCCATATGCCGGGTTTTATTCTAAATGGGTCATAAACTCCAGAGTAGAGTGCCATGAAGGGTGAAATTGAAAGGAGTCGTATCACAGCCATGTGCTTTGCTAAGGTCACTTGTTTCCTTTTTGACCAAATCCCATTGACGTTCGCCGCAGATGGAAACCAAACTCGTGTCGCTGGGCCAATCTCGATATAAGTGTTTGAAAAAAATAATCCGAAGTGTTCTGCGTATAATCAGACACTCACCGCCAGGAGGCGCGTGCAGTGCCTCGATGTTCAAGTGCTTGCTGTCCGGCAGTGGCTCCTCCTCCTCCTCCTTGTTGAGGTTGTTCTGCAGCGCGGCCTCAACGGAGCCGTGGCTCCAGGCCCCCACCACGTTGGCCGTCACCTCCGCGGTGACCGCTACACCGGCCTCGGGCGATGAAGGCTGATCAGCGCCCATCCTCCCTGCTGCAGCGTCGCCCTCGCTCCATGCAACAGAGTTGCCCGCAATCCCTGCAGCAGCGTTGCCTGTCCTCCCTGCAGCAGCAGAGTTGCCTGCCGTCCCTGCAGTAGCGTCACCCACCCTCCCTGCAGCAGCGTCACCCATCCTCCCTGCAGCAGCGTCACCCATCCTCCCTGCAGCAGCGTCACCCATCCTCCCTGCAGCAGCGTCACCCATCCTCCCTGCAGCAGCGTCGGCCTCCCTCCCTGCACCAGCATCCCCCATTCTCCCTGCAGCAGCGTCACCCATCCTCGATGCAGCAGCGTCACCCATCCTCGATGCAGCAGGGTCACCCATCCTCCCTGCAGCAGTGTCACCCACCCTCCCTGCAGCGTCGGCCTCCCTCCCTGCACCAGCATCCCCCAGCCTCCCTGCAGCAGCAGAGTTGCCTGCCGTCCCTGCAGTAGCGATGTCCGCACTCCCCGCAGCAACGTTGCCCCCCCTCCCTGCAGCAGCATTGCCCCCCCTCCCAGCAGCAGCTTCATCCTCCCTCCCTGCAGCAGGGTCGCCTGGGCTTGTGTCCAGAAGCTCATCCTGCCCGTGTGACAATCACAGCTCCCCGCTTTATCAACGTCTCTTGGTTCGGCTTTCACCGAGCAACACTACTGGCGAGCACACAGCTTACAAATGTTGCCTAACGCTTTTAAAGTGTACGCAAAACACTGACAGAAGCAATTTAAATGTGAATGACAAATGCACTGCAGCACTGTTGGCTATGTACGGTGCAAAAGAAGTTCAACAAACATATATTAGCCGAATCAGGATTCTTTAGATTTCAAAAACAATTCAAATTTATGAAAATTCTAAACTGGCTCACACTCTCGCTGATCCACAAGCCTGGGTGAGCCAGGTTGTTACCAAACAACTTTCCAGCGAAACGTTTCCATCCGTGTCCCATTCTGAACGAAACGCAACGCGAGGGTAAATTCAACCCGGGGACTATTCGTGCAAACCGGGCAGCGGCCCTCAAAGTTCGACGGAATCACAGATGCACGCACGTACGCTCACGTGGATCACGGATGCACACACGTGGATTACGGATGCATGAACACGCACGCAACTCGTCGATCGTAGCTCACCGCAAAGTCACGGTCGGGAGGGCAGCCCGCGAGCTCACCTTGAGGCTGGTGTTGGACACGAGGGGCGGCCTGCGCCACTGCTCCCCAACGACGACATCGGCGCCATCCTGCGGAGACGCCACGGGCACGGACGGGGATGGCTCTGGGCCCGGGAGCAGGAAGAGCCGCAGAGACTTGGGCCTGTCCCTCCTGCAAGGCAACCACAAGGGGCGGCCATTAACTAAAATAACAACCCTCCCACAATCGTTTTCTCCAAGGTAACGGAAAAATGCAAAGTTGCCGACAAATGACGAATATATGTAATGGTCAAGGTGCAGCCCTGCAATCGCTTGCCAATGCTGCCAGACATCTGACAAAAAGAGCTTTACGGCTCATCGGATTCCTCCAGTCTGCATAAAGATTCTAAATAAAAATTGGAATGCTACTGGCTGGCAGAAGGGCCATCACTACAGGGAGCTCTAGAAAATCCCACAAGAGAGTATTTGGCCTATTCTTCCACATTACCCCCCCACACGTGACCTGGCGATCGACCAACTCTGGTCGACCCATTTATACTGCAGGGTGGACAGGTGGGAGGATTTAAGAAACTTGCACCACTGTTTTGACTGCCGAACTGAGAAATCAAACCGGCAACATGTGAATTGAAAGTCCAGTGTGCGGGCCATTACGCTGTGGCAGCATCCAGAAATGAGCAATATAAAAAAGTTGAATGTCAAGTAAATATGTTTACTGGGTGGACGGGTGGCACGGTGATCAGGGCACTGTGCAATGAAGAAAGTCAGTTCGATTCCTGGCCATGGCTAACATGAGCGGCGATAAATGAACTGGTCCTGGGCCCTCCTTAACCCATCTGCATCAAGCAGCATGATAATGTATCATGATAATGTATCATGATAATGTATCATGGAACAACCACTGGCAGTGCACTGACACAGCGGTGGCAAGATGTTTTCTCCCTCGCCTGGTATGCAGGAGGTCGTGAGCTCGATCCTGAACCTAAGTGCCTGTATATTTGGAGTTTGCGTGTCTCTCTCACTCCGTGGTCGCGTGGATTTTTCTCCAGGTCCTCCGGTTTTTCCCTCCACATTTAGAAACACACGTTTACAGTATTTGGCTGCTTGACATTTCCACATGATAAGCCACTTCGTTGAGCTATCATTTGTGGCTAGGTAACTTCTGAAAAAGAGCTAATATAGCTCAGTGGGCCTTACCTGGTAAAAAAAAATAGTTTGGTTTATAGCTTACATCAAGTCCTGTTTTCGTAGGTTGCATTCCGACTGATTTGATCATTGTATTTTCCTATAGCACATTAAATGACAATATTCATAAATTCACGGCTAACACGTGCTGCATAGCCAAGGTGACATGGAAAACACTTGCGAATGATTATACCGACACTGCAATACTGATTAACTTGGTTGATGTATTACTGTCTTAAACGTAGAAAAGTGATGATATTTAGGCACTTGGGAAATGTTGTGGCACTATCACACGTTGCATTCACCACACAGTGTGTGCACGCTCACCATGTGCACAGAAGGTGAAGGGAAATGTAAGTAGGGGGGCAGTGGGGAGACAGGAAACCAGGTGGGGAGAAGCAGCAGGAGAAATGTGCAGAAGGGAAGAGATGGAGATTGAGAGAAGCAGTGACACCGGCTGAAGGAAGTGGAACGGCGGTCGAGATTAGTTCGGCCCCGTAGCCGCAAATGAGCTGACGGAACAGACGGACAATGACATTTCTTTCGGTGGAAGCTGGTGGAAAATCGAACAATTAAAATTAACATCCCTTGATAAAAAATAACAAAACACTCCCGCATAATCCGATCACACTACCGTGTACACCACAAACACTAATGCATTACCACTGCAGCACTCCCAGGAATTGTTCATCCGTCATGGGCCCTAGATAAGCCCCTAAAAAACATCCCTCCCAATCTATAAAATCCATCGAGCCTCCCCACAACTGTGATGATAACCCAGCCATGCCCGCGGCCCTGCGATGGAGCGTGTGCGGTAATGGATGTAGAAAATAAATCTAAGTCACCGGCCCATTTATCCCTTCGCTTCTCCCGAGGACTGGTGTCATACGGAAGACTGAACTGCAAAGCATTCACAGCCAAGGTCTACACGTGGCGTGCACAGCACTCTTGCTGATCCACTGCTGGATGAGAGCATCCCGTGGACCCTTCACCACCGTGGTCCGTGGTGTGTTGGTGAATGAATGCCAGGGTGTGATTTTGTGCCGGAGCAACACGTATCGCGGGTCCACTGTCCCAGCTGTAATCCCCTCTAGCACTTGCCAATTAAAGAGAGTGTAACAGCCATTGTTAAGCTAATGGGGGGCTGTTTGTGTCTGGTATGAATCATCCAGTGAAATCAGCAAGCCTGCCTGGGCTAGCTCCCCCGCCACCCACCCTTCTTACAGCAAGCACTCACGCCACTCACTGCACCATTATGAAATCCATATACGAGTGAAAACATTGACACGTAATGCGATTATGGATGAGTTAAGCGCTATCTAGATGGTAGGGGTGGGCGCCTATGGAGGCGGTGACCAAGGCGTCACGTCAGCCAGCTCCGACCGAGTCAGTGACCCAGAAAATATATCTGTGGGACATTTTTGCCAGCATCAAAAATGATACAAACTGCTCGACATGCGCTATAAATGATCTGCTACTTGCATCGCCTTTGTACCGTTTGCCCCTTTTGGCATTCTCTGGTCTAATACTGGTGAGACTAGCCCAAAAAGAAGGCCGTCTCTGGTGTAGGCCAAACAGTTTCAAAGACAATGCATACATTATAATGTATGCATTGTCTTTATCAGAGCATGTTTTGGTTGCATGTATTGCTTCAAGTGTGTGTGGTTAATGCAGATTTGATGCCTTCCAAAGAGTATCTAATTGCTGTTTGAACATCATAACACCTCCTGTTTCACCGTCAGAGAGGGTAAAACCAGAAAATATGTCTGCACCCGGCACACCACACCCATTATTCCTACCGCTATAGTTGTAGCTAATAGTCATTAAAAGTTGATAAAAGCACCGTCTACGTGCACGGAAGTAAAATTCCCAGCGTTCACAATCAGCTGCCCAGCGGCACCCCTTCTTAACCAGGGCCGAGGGGCCAGAGAGAACGGAAACAGGAGGACTTCCTCACAATTCTGGCAAATCCCCTGATCAAGCTGGTTGTTGTAATCACCGGTGAGACCTCGTACTCAAATTGTAAACGTCGCGGGTGTCCTCTCCAACGCACCGATGTGCTGAGGTAGTAACCAATTGGCACGTGGCCAAGCTTACTAATTGGCTGTGTCGGGTGGTGGTGGGTTAGCAGCGACGACACATTTGCATTGACGCAATCTCACCCAAAAACAAGATTTACTACGAATAATATCGGTCGCGAAAAGCCTACTACCACGACGTGTTTAAACCGAGCCACAGGGACAAATGCCAAGCACGCCGCAAGGGGTAGAGCCCAACAATGGCCTTGGCACATGCCAGCGCCCAGAGCTGACAGTCTCGTAGCAAGGCCAATTAATCAGAATGCTGGCCGAGTTTACACCCCGATTCTGGCAGCAGAAACGGCGCAGAATAATAGACCACCGTTGGAGGCAGTTTTTTTGGTTTGTTTTGGAGCCATTGCTGGTTTAGTGATGATGATCCTTAGTTTTAATAATAATTATCACGCTAATTTGTAATGGGCACAATTTTCACTTGCCCGAAGGCAGCGACCACCCTGAGGCGTGGAGACCGGCTCCGCGTCTCAGTTTCATTTTTTGTTGAACTCTCCTTTGCTGGTTACATGAGTGCTCAACACTGTCGAAAGTTCAATGAGGTACACGCAAGTTTCCATTTGTGTGCATAAATTATAAAAGAGTATCCAATTACAGACGGGGATTTTCTGATCTCATATTACAGCTCTTGAGCTCGCAAGATGACATCTCATTCCAAGTAGATTGACAGCTTTCTTTTTGATGAGTCCCAGGCTTGCGTGTGGTTGGCAGCAAGGTTGTGTGTTCACAGCGAGGATTTATTTTGTTACCGACCTTCATAAACGATATGGCGCTGGTCGTTTGCACCTGGGAGACTTGCAGTCAAGTTAGCAGAAGATTATGCTCATTACTCATCTTACGGCCATTCAGACTGTCAGTTTTACGTATTACAGCTGAACCCAGGGGCAGCAGAAACTAGTGAGAAAAAAAAGCTTTGCTATTTTCATTGCAGGTAGCAAGTAGCCAATCAGCATGTGGGTGAATTAACCCTTTCCTGTTCCGATGACGTACGTGTACGTCATCACAAGAAAACCGGAAGAAAAAATGAAGTAAAATAACTTCATCCATAACGAGGCTCCCACAAAGCCAGTTTGGCGCCAGCTGTCAGAGTACGCGGTCGTGTCGCTACCGTTCTCTGCGGTGATTACAATGTCTTTAAAAACAAAGGCGCCACGCCGCTCTAAATCAAATTAATGCTAACCGCTTGCGCGTTGGGAGAATCGGCCGTGAATGGGACCCCACCCTGCAACTTGCAGATGTCTCGGAACGGGAAAATGTTAAAAGTGCTTCTTTGTTTCTTTACTTGGAAATGCTTTAGCGATCAGGTTTTTTTGATACATCAATACCACCGTCCGCACAAAGTCTTCTTATTCTTAACATTCAGCATACGTATGTACGCATGTTGAACTTCTTTCGTACCGTATGTAGCCAACCATGCTCATCGGAGATGCGGTCACGGATGGTGCTCACCTGAGCAGGCATTTTGGAGGCGGGCACTAAGTGGCCACCCCCTGCCACCTGAGTTACCCCGCCCCCTCTACCCACAATTTCCCACTTTTTTTAAAACTATTTCTCTGCACCACAAAACAAGCAGGTGCAGGATGGGCCAAAAAGCCACCATAGAAAAAGAAATAAGAGTCAAAACATAGGACAGAACAGGAAGGGAACATCACACCGGGACAGGCCAAGAGATGTTCTTGCTTTAGCGGAGATGTTTTAGCTTGACTGCGCACCACACCGAGTGTGTAACAATGCGACAACTGCAATTTTTTGTTTACAACATCGCTTATCGCGTGTGGGAGCAGCGGAGTGGCTCAAATTGCTCGCCAAGGTCATGTGCCCTCTCCATATTGTCCTTCCGACCAGACCAGAGCTGAATAAATCATTATCTTGTTTTAAGAGACACTGGATAATCTCCGTA